AGTTTTCGACCAAAGTTGGATCAGTCAATGAATTCGTGGAGCATATTCACCGAGGACTACATCAGGCCAAGGAGAAGTTGGTGATAGCTCAAAATCGGCAAAAGCAGCATGCCGATGCTCATCGTAGAGAAGTGATTTTTGAGGTTGGAGATCATGTTTGCTTATCTACAACAAATTTGTCTCTTGTAGGAACACCAAAGTTAAACCCTAGGTTCATTGGTCCATTTTTGGTTTTGAAGCGTGTTGGTGAAGTGTCATACAAGTTGGAACTTCCGTCACATATGAAAATACATCCAGTATTTCATGTGTCACGATTGCGAAAACATGTACCACGACCAAAACAATTCACCAACCAACCAGCACCACCTCCTCTTCCAACCTTGATAGCAGATCATGAGGAGTTTGAGGTAGAAAAGATACTCAAGAAACGTATCCAAGGTCATAAATATCCCAAAGTAGAGTATTTGATTCAATGGAAAGGCTATACATCGTATGAATCAACTTGGGAATCAGCTAAAAATTTAGCAAATGCACCTTTGATAGTTCAGGAGTTTGAACGTATGTGCAACGAGGACGTTGCATCTTAAAAGGAGGGAGGTTTGTAACCATCTTTAGTTAGTTAGAACTAAAGTAGAGGTTACTCTGAATATTGATGTAGATACTTTAGTGTGCATTAGTCATAGCTGCCACGTCAGCGATCCGCGCACTTGGTAGGTACAGAGTGGACGTGTTAGTTGACAGTGCCACGTCAGCAATCCGTGTGCTTGTAGGTAAGGATTGAATGTGTTAGTTAGTGTGTTAGTTGGGTGCGCCACGTCAGCGATCCGTGTGCTTGTTAGGGTTATCCGCCATGTCATCCATCCACTAGGAGTGGGATGGATGGTGGGGATTAGATCTTATCACCTTGTACTTGTTGGTGAGAGCTATATAAGGGAGAGGAGAACCATTGTTGAAATCTCTCATCTTCAGAGTTTACGTTTCTATCTTCGAGTGAACTTCTCTCTAAACCCTAGTGTTACAGTCAGGAAGTACTTACTTCTTGATTTATGAATAGTAACAATCTTCCGTAAAGACCAAGTTGAAGGAAAACCATCCATAGCAGCATTTTCTAAAGCTTTAGTTAGTATTGATCCAATAACATCTACTCCTCCATTAAAAAGTTCACTAGAGAGACAATTCAAATACTCTGATTTTTTATTTGCTAATTTTTTGAAAAATGAAAAAACTCTCAAACTCCATTGATCTTATAAATGACACAACCCTAAATTTTTCATCTAGATGATTATTAAGTGATGGATCTATTGTTTATTCAAAAAAAATGTTTGTGGGAGGGTGATTATTTCACCTGACATGAAAGTTTGATCAAATGATATGTTGAAATATGTCTTGCTCACTAATACTATATACTTGTATAACAACTATCTATCAACAATCTAGAAACATCATAAATTCAAAGCTTTCTAATTTCACGGATCTAAACAATAGTAAATCTTCCTCGTAATTGAACTGATTGTCATAGCTGTCTAAGAGATGTAATTCGTGATTGTTACAAGACAGTAATCTAGTATATATTTGAAAGATTGCTTTGAGAGACAGTTGTGATTGTGGTAATGAATGTAAACTAAAATGTAAATTTTTTTTTTATTTCATGTAGCATAAGAATCAACTAAAGCTCCTATATCTTATAGTCATAGTTACTTTCTACAACAAATATGAAATTAACCATGGATGCAAACTAAAACGTAAATTTCTTTGAAATTCATCTACCTAAAGAATCAAATAGATCTTAAACTTCTTGTGCTCATAAATTTTTTCAACTCTTACTATCAAAAGTTTTGTATTAAAATCAATAATTGATGAAAACCAAAATGTAAAAATTGTGAATACTATCACGATAAGGAATCAAATAAATGTGAAACTTATTGTAGTCATGAATACGCTTAACATCCCTACAACAACTCGGAGCCAATAATATGAGCATTCTGAAAAGCTTTTTACGTTTTAATTGTAACATTTGCATCATGTGGAACAAAAATCTAACTAAATCCAAAACTTCTTGCAATTCCAAATTTTTTATTTTTCTCTCACAACGATTGCTGAACCAGCAATCTATGCAAACTAAAACGGACAAATTCTTCAATACTATGAAGTTAAAGGATAAATTAAGTTCTAAATGTCTTGAAGTCAAAAAGAAATTGTATTCTTATAACAAATTGTGTAAACTACAAATTCATGCAAAATTAATCGTATAAAAAAATGAACTAAGTTTTGAAAGTTTTGTAATTTTCGAATATCACTTATTCTTACTATAATCGTGTAACCAATCGTTTATCAAAATTTGAATAAAAAAAGTTTTGAGTTAACAAACAACTTAACTTAAAACTCTTTCAATATACCTCTTAGAAATCTTGATGTATTAAATAAATGTATCTTGATGAATTAAATGTGTATTATTTGATAGAACATCTTATGCTTCACGTTAAACTAATAAAATTGTAATGATCAATAGCTAAAAATTTCAAACTGCCAATATAACATGTACTTAAAATGTAATGCTTTGCATAATTAAATGGTGAATTTAATCTTCTATGTAAAAAATAATTAGGTTAAATCTTATAAATGATCATATTTTTAAAATAAATTTACATATATAGTTATTAAATATGTAAATATACATAATGTACATACAATCAAAATATATTATACCAAGTTCCTTGTTTATGTCATTTTATTGTGAATGCATCAAAATTTCAAATTAATGTTGTAAAGATCTAAAAACTGTATATGTAGAAAAGATTTTCCAAAAATATGATGATTTACTCAATATATTCTCTATTTCGGATGAAGAATAGAATTTAGCCAGTTTTTCAAATTGAATGTTTGTATGTAAAATTTATAGGTATAACTTATTTGGATAAGAAAAGAATTATAATGTATATTATATGCAAAAATTATGTTGCTATGTATATGCAATAATACCAATGAAATTTTGAATTTTTTTTATTGATGTGCAAGATTGAAAACAATCTTGCACATCAATAAAAAAATTAATTATAAAATAAAATGAATATTTGGATATAAACGTTTCTTTCGGAGATAGTACTATGTAAGTTTGATATTTTTTGCACTTAATTTGACGCATAAAATTGAAATCCTTATGCATATATGAATTGGATGGATAATACATTTTTTTAATATCAAACACTTATCAATTGAATAACTATTATATATAATTATATTCAAATTCTATATAATTAATTTAAATCACTTGACAGAACTATCACGGTTAGAATTAAATACAATTTAGAATTCAATATTATACTAAAATTTGAAATCGAAAAATAATTTAAAATAATAATGGCAATCTACATCATAATATTCAAACTAGATGTTACTTGATATAAACATGATTAATGGTATAAGTAAGATATTTTTTACCAAAATATCTTCAAATAAATTAAAGTCTTATATTTTAAAAATGAAATTTATGAAAGTATGAAGTTAGTCAATTTTTTATAAAGTTTATGCAGGTGATCTCGAGTAGAAGCGGCTACGACCTAAGTAACTTTAGATCGTAGCCCCTATAACCCAAGTCTAACTTGTAGAATTTTATAAATTCCACAAGTTAGACTTGGGGTGTTTCGCGAAGGGCAGAAATGATATTTTGTTTGGGCTAAAGTTCTGGTTTTCTATTGCATTCATTCTCAAAGTGGTAAATAAGAAAGCAGATTTTACACAACGTATATGTATTGTACTTATAAGCATTATCAAAGGCTCGGGTGTAGAGAGAAAGACTTTTCTAGGCGTTTAATCACCGAGTTCCGCTACGCGATCGACCGAGATAAGCACAGAAATCCTTCTCTCATCGGTCAACGGCATATTCTATTTCATGTAACTACTTCTGATCCCACTTTTTGGGCAAATTCACTTTTCATTCCAGCCAAAATTTAAAATTATGGCTGAAGCTTGGTTTGCTACTCCAAGCATGACAAAATCATTCCTTTTGGGCTCCGTACTTTCGGTTCATTTGTGATTTACTGTGTAAATTGTGGGGAATCCACTCGTTTTCGTTAAGAGTATGTACTTCAAGATTTGAAATAAAATTGACTCATATAAATTAGTATATTAAATTTCAAACAATCATATAATAATTTTAACAATATCTTTCACATAGGATTACTCGAATAAATCTTGTTACAAAACTTGAAATCGTGATAATAAATCTTATTATTAGATACATGGAATGTTTGGAGCAAAGAGTGTATATGGTTGATAGTGATAATCTTATAAGAATATACCATGTGCTAATTTGAAACAGATATAGAGTTTGACACATTTATATTCTTTCGGAGAGATTTTTGATAGTTTATGAGTTTATCGATTATCATGCACATAAGTTTTTATGCACATAAGTTGATAGACATTGAAAATGGAAATGAAAAACACTAGAAAAACAAATTAACACATGATGCGTGAAGACTCAACGTCGATAATACGTGATTCACCTCTAGCTACCTACACACGAATATAACAGTTTACAGTGAGAACCTGAGACAATATTCGGATCGAGCTATGTCTTGCTTTCCCAAATAGTCCAAACTCGGATTTTCTTCATTACAAGAACTGCATGAATTATCACTAACAATCTACTCTTTAATTCGTGTAATGCAAACTATAACCTAATATAATTTCCTTTCAACTGGAGCTAAATGGATATAAATTGTAGACAAAACAAGATAGAGTAAAATTTATGAATACATATAAAAATCATTATTAAACTATACTTGTAATCACCATGTGAAATTGTTTAAGAGCACAATTTTTTTAAACTCTTCAAAAATAATAATTTGAATCAAAATATTAATTTATTGCGTTTACTTTACATTTTGACTACCTCAATTTTTTTATCAGAAATTACATTTCTGATGTCAATGTGTTTCAAGGAAGCTTGAAGCAAGGTACTCCACTGCAGTCCAGGAAGCGTTGAAAGAATTGATACAAGAGCAGTAGTGTTTATAAATTGGAGGCATAAGATGTAAATACATGTACTACATTATATGTGTTCATGAGATTCCGGGACAGTGGAAATATGAAAATTTTGATTCACACTACACTTTATACTATCAACAAGAACGTTCGCTTCTAAAACAGCGTGGAGGAGAAAATGAGGATAATGTTCGATCTGGTTGCTACTTCGGTTCAACAGCACATCACCGCACGTTTCCTCTTCGCCCACATTTCTGAGAAACTTGTGCACTATCTGCAATACACAAACCTCATTTGTCAAAAGTCAAACTGTAACCGTTGTAACAAGCTACTTAATCTAACTCTGCAGTCCATCCAGGTCACTTACGCAACTTTCATGTAGTTTACAGGATTTCATTGTGGTCTTCTCTCTTCCACTAACACTGATCAGTGTTAAGACTGTAGGGATCATTCTCGACTGGAGAATGATCATTTTGTACGAGGCAAAAACTCGGAGACCAGATACCCTCAATAGCAAGTGCCTCACATATCCTCACGAACTAAGACCCGCGCCTTGGCTCGTTAGTGCGTGTGATAAAAGGAGACGAGGAGAATCTACGGATATCGTTAGAGATTGTATGAAAGAAGGAAAACTCTCTCAATACACTTAAAAAAGATTTTGAAGAAATACAAATCAGAAACTTGAACGCACGTCAAGAAACTCCAGAAAAACTCAAATGACCGCCTGCGTCAACTCTGGCAAGAAGACCTAACCGGCTTGAATCAATCAGAATTCCTCGCAAAAGACGGAGAAAAAAGGAGGAGATTTCGTTCGGCCCCAATCTACAAGGAATGTTCGATCCTTTCTTCGAATACCAAAACTCATGTATGCTCGAACATGCAACTCGGACGAAGGACTTAAATGTGGTCTACACATCTGAAGAATGCAGTCTCTGAACAGAACCAGCTTCAACAGACAAAGCGACCATAGGCATATTTCCACCTTTAACAAGGGGATGAACAGACAAACACGAGAATAAACTAAATGGACGACTGCATACACCACAACGTTTAACGGAGGCGGTGATATTCGAGAATATAAAAATTGGATATTCTCGTTGTAAGACTCTTACAAGTTTTATGAACTATGAAACTCCATATCTCTTGGCAGTTTGTCCCATGACTCCTTGCATCAGCTCGCATATTCAACGCGGCTGGGGTAGAAAATTAAGGGAGGTAACAAGGTATTGTTTTATGATGGAATCAAACCTCCATTTCAGGAGCCCGTTGTACGAGGACACCCACTTGGAAAATATTTCCAAAGGTGAATAAATCGCTCCTGTCCAAAGTTTTTGAAGTCTATCTTGCCTCTTGTTGGAAGGCTAGTCCACAATATGCCAGGTTTTCTTCTACAACGTGCCTTTCCTAAACTGGGACGAGGATCTATTCACAATACCGTGTCAAGAGCCTTCCTGAGATCGAGGAAGAAGCACTCAACCTTCCTGACTTGAACTACCTGGAATGGGAGGACGTTGTCCAGCACTTCCGCATGATGCTCCCGGATCATCATGGCTCACATAATCTGTTCCTTAGTTCCTTAGACATTCCTGGCCCTCAATTTTTACTCTGGTTACATCCACTGTTCGGAGGTAGTTCTACAGCTTATAATATTCTAACACTACGTTGCACATTAGTTAGGCACCACGACTTTGATCCTAAGTTCTGTAACCTTAAGTTCAGCAACTTTCGGAAACCTATCCATTTTCCTGCTGTCCAATTCCAAGTCATGTTCCGTGGAGGCAAGCAATATTGCGTTAACAATCTTGACGTCTGCAAATGAAATGGATCATGCCTCTCTCATAGGTGATAGTAGTCATAACCATCAGAAACCAACACTTTATAGCGCACCACATCTAGTTGGTCCACGTTTTTTTATGTTTCAGGGAAGGTCTTGACCGTTGTAAGTTCTTTGCTTACTGTGCACACAGCTACCGTCAACAGATTTCGTCTTGTATTAGCTCACCTCAAGTTTCTGCTAACTCTCTTCACCAATTTTTGAAGGCTCCCCATGAAGGTGTCGAGAGTCGAATTTCCGTGTTTGAGGGCTAAAGCACTTCTCTAAGTTATGTCTTCCTCTTAATCTGGTATTATACCTATTTGAAACTTTTGATGCCGATTCCTTTTAAGAACCGGAGTACACGAAATTGAAAAAAATCAGTCAAACATTTTAGCACTCTTAACCAGAATGGAGAGCGTATGGGTCCAACCGTCAACTTAATTCTTACCTTCCTTGCACATCCTCCGTATGCAACTCCTGCGATCACTGCAGACCCACTTTGGTTGTCTTCGTATAGCTGAGATACCCCTGCAGCATGCACATACATATGATTCAATCTTTCTAGACCAAAAGGAGTCCGAAATTAAACAATGTTTTGAAACTTTAGCCACAAGTTTGGAAGAGCTTACCATGATTCTCGTATGTTATCCAGCGTTGCAACTTGTTCCGTAACTTGTGAATAAAACATTCGAGAAAAACATAGTACATTCTACTTCTCATATGATATATATATATATATATATATATATATCATAAAAATAACAATACGTATAACATAACTTCCTTCCAAATTCAAAAATTGGATATGTCTCATATCAATTAGTGATGATAATGATTTCATCACACTAGAAAGAAAAAATACATACATGGATATAGTGAGATGATATGATAAAGGTGTGGAGGTATAAAATAAAAAGAAAACAAGAACTAGTACATGATCGGCTTGATATATCTATATATATATATTACCATCCTTAGCTTTTACAACTTCTGAATCTCACTATATATGAACTCATTAATTTCTTGGATTAAAGAAGAAATGGAAGAAGGAGAATGATCGCCACTTATTTCTCAAAGAAGAAGTAAAATATTTTCATATACACTTTCAAGCTTTGTGTAAAAGTTAATTTATTCATGTGATTCGTAATGGGCAAACTACAATCCTGTGAAAGTATCATGTTGTCTTGATTTCATATCAAACTTTACTTCATAGCTGTATACAAAGATATCATTTTGATCCAAGTACATGGTGTTTAAATGTTTATTTCATGCATTTCAATCCATCATAATCTTTTCATCAATATCATCATAACATCGAGTTCGAACTTCATAGACTTGACTTATATATGGTTTAGAATATTACTCATATGCAACATGATGTGATCCGAGTTTGTGTATAAATGTAAGTCATATAACTATAAGTCAAAATCTCTTTCATGTAAATTTTTTTGACCCTTTCATAATTAGACAAGAAATAAAAGTGATAAATTTTCCAAGCAAATAACACATAAACATATGAAAAGTCACCATGCTTATGTAATGATCAAACAAATGTTATTGTTGTACTTTCTCTCCATTATGTTTTTCAATGGTCGGCTTGATATAGATAAAATTACAGATTTTCTTTATTTTACAAGTAAACTGATCCATGCTTAGCTTATAAAACTTCTGATACTCACGATATGCTCCAATAAATGGAATTTGGTTGGAGGGACGTACATTGGCTTCTCCACTGCAACGCGAGGAAAGTGGAACTACTTGCATAAACTACTACATACTCTACTTTTCTAATCATCATATTGAATAAAAATTGCTATTGAAGGCAATTAGTATATAGTGGTAATGTCTCTTCTTCAAATCATGTGTAATCGTGAATATTGTTTATATCCATGAAGGCATTGACAACAAGCACTATATTTTTCGTCTCCTAAAGAACACTCGTAGTTCTACTTTGTCATCTTTCTGTCCTTGGAGATTATCTGCATATAATCTTGCAACAAGTCTTAATATTGCAAGATTCGCATGGTTACATGAGTCTACTTTCGTCGAGATTTTGACATAAGCCTTTTTCCATGGTATCGGTCAAATTGTAAGAGCTCTAGCTTGGACCTCCAAGGATAATTGTAGACCACAGGAATGATATAGCAGTGTGAATGTGACTTTCGATCGTCAACTCCGTCATTTTTTTGGTCGGACGTGATACCTCACTGCACATCGTATGTTCCACGAGGTTACCTTGCATTCATTTCTTCTAAAAGTGCAGACCAGATTTCTTTTAAGAGCTGTCGGCTGTTCAATCCAAAGCAGAAGATCCCAAACCATTTCATAAAAAACACACAAGCTTTTTGGTATATACCTTGTTGAATACAAATCTGTACATTATTTGCTATAAATCTCCTCGTTTGACCGAAGAGTACACAGAGGGGTCAACCCATTTACTGCAGAATTCCCCTACGACAATAAAACTCGATCTCCCACTCGATCTCCCACTCCAGGTCGATCTCGCTCGTGATATAATGACTCGTACATATTGGGAATTATGAGAATCACTCGTCTTCATGTACTTGTGGACGTTGGTTCCGCAGCTCTTGTCGTCATGTTGGCTGACTCATGTACTTGTGAGCGAGTGCCTGCTCATGAAAGGATAAGGATATGAACAAATAAGATGTGGAGAGAAAACATTATTTTCCTCCAGCTTCGAAGTAAGTGACCATCATCATGATGGTGCACTCTCGCTCAAAGTTTTGCTAAGTTTCAGCTGTACATGTACAGCAGAGATGTCGTAGACTTTTCGTAAAATCACCTCCTCGGCATCATTAGCATAAGCCATAGCATCTCTGCACCCATTTCAGAAGTATAGAAACATTAGAACAAGTCACACGAACTCAGAAGCTGAGGCTCAAGTACTTTCGATAGCGAACATTGAAATTGGACAACCCAATACTTCAAGGATTTTAACTGTGATGAATTTGTAGGTACCTCACAGATATGTCAGGATTCATCAAAACCTCCACTTCAACGACAACCTTTCCTTTTAGATAATGAGATGTGACGTGAGCTATCGTCATTTTCTGCAAACAGAGGATGAATACTTTCAGTACCACCACACAGATGCGACATACCCACCACTGAAAAACAGACACAACACCTGCTCAAAGCATGTTTAGTTTGTAAGATATCTTCTTCCTTGCCATTGTCTTCGCGGGCACAGGGAAAGGGGAGAAGTAGTGCCATTAGCCTAGGGTGAGGGATAATTAGCCTAAACTGAAGGATAACTAGCCGCTCCCATAAATAAATGAATTAATAAAGAAAGAAATAAATAAGTAAAACAGGGACGATGCAATAAGAAGAAAAATGTAAGTACTGTGCCTGAGATAAGGAGAAACAAAACTGAAAAGAACAGCAGAGTGGACACGCATAATTCATATTCAGGATGCGCATCGTCCAGTCAGGTCTTCGCTCTCAGCATTTGTCAGGCAAATTCTCACAAGAAGTAAGGTACCTAAACGGGTTGCTCTAAATATGTCGAGGGTAATAATGCAAGCTGGCATTATGACTTCTAAGATTTTGCAAAAGATGACATATCAGAGGAATCACCTCACGAAAGTCGGCATTAACAACCCGACGAACATCTTGTTCAATTTCTGAGTGCTGTCGTGAATCAGCCTCGAAGGAAGAAGCACAATGGCCATCTAAAAAACTATCATTAGTCAAAAGGTCTGACTTAGAGCCATTCTTAGTCAGATCCCTTTTCGTCAAGTGCTGGTCATCTCCATGTGGATGATTATCATGACTGGTAAGATGGTCATGTAGGTGAGCCTCAATCTCAGCCTCTTCAGGAGTTACCGTTTTAGATCCTCCATCAGCTGGTTCTGCGATGGGAAAAAATGTCAATACTTTTATCATCATCGGCACTCTGCGTTCAAATATGGCCATCAGAGAATAAACAAACAGGATGCTGAAGCCTATATACGCCCTCCTTTTTCTTCCATTTGAGAATTAAGAGACCACACTGTATGCTTCTGTCAAATACATTACTACATACACTCCATGCACAAACGATATAGTCTAAAAACTAAAGAAGACGTCGGTGAATCTCAACCTGCGAACATTTTTCTATCAATCGAGGTGAAGAAAGTGGGTGGAACCTATATGTACAAAGGTTTCGGCAACTTCAGGATGCTCTTTCTGTAATTGATGACGCACCGCTTCACCAATATTATATGCTGCACTTACGCTCAACCAAGGATCCACCTACAGAAAGAATAATACAAAAGAAAGGGCAATTAATCCAATAAATACTTCTTGTTTTGATTGTAAACACATTAACTTTTTCCCAGAGCGTACATCTGTACCTCAATATGCGCATCCACATGAATAAAAGATCCCATTCTTCGTCCTCTTAAGTGATGGCAACCCTGCACATGCACAAGAACATACATGAGCGTCGTCAGTCAACTCATTAAACTCACAACGATATACGCAATCGAAAAGATGGCTTGGCAAAATTTTCGAAGACCTTGAGAGTATTTCTTGCTAAGCATTACTCTCCAGTTACCACATCAAACTCTACGAACATTTTGGCGTTCTTAAAACAGTGAAGATTCGTACGAGGGATGCAACGAAAAAGATGAAGTAGAATGTGCTTACCTCTACACCCTGAACATGAAGGACAGTATTCCGAATGGGTGATAGCACCGACTCTGATACCCCTGAATCAACCAACTCCTGCAGACTGAGAAAATGCAACGCATATTATGTGGTGGAAACTGTTGGAAGCTTCACAAGCTCAAATATTGGTTACTTGTCACGGAAATTTTAAAATGCGGGGTCTACCTTTGATATCCAGTTTCCATTCCTGCCTTCACTATCATGCCTGACACAAGCAGGCCTGCAACGGGGTCCAACAACGGCATCCCCAACATTGCTCCTCCTGACAGCAAGCAACAACTCATCCATAAATTGGGTTTGAGTGAATGTTCATACTGCCGTAGGATATGAAATTCGAGATAAAGTGCAAGCTCTTCACATTACAAATAGGGCACTGGTGCAAAATCAAGTCATTGCAGACAATTGACATCTATGCACAAGTTTTATCGTAAAATCTGATCTAAGAGGAAACGGTCATGTAAAGTACCAACACCGACGAGAGCAACTACAGATGATATGGCATCACTACGGTGGTGCCATGCACTCGCTTTGAGTAGCTCACTCTTCTGTTGCTCTCCTACTTTTTTAGTTTGCCAGTACAGTCTGTAGAATCCATTAAAATAAATACAAAGGTCATATTCACGAATGAGAGACATGTAAACAGAAAAGAATGACAGTAAGTCATCATCCAGAACACACCACCGACGAATTATGTTCCAAGAATTACTATAGTCTCTTATAATCACTCTTTACGCACACCTTCTGATCTATAAGCATACTTCCAGAGACGTGGACCTGCATGGATTAAATACTCAGAGCCAAAACTCTGGGCTTCAACGGTCATACCTGCCTAAATATTTGATGCTCCTGGCCATGAAGTGAACACGTTAAAGTTGAAACACAATCTATGACATGAGCAGTTGTGCAAGGATATGCATATTTTACTACTTGAGTACGTCAAGGTTGATACATACGCTTCTTTGACCACAATGGAGACCACAGCTGCACTTAGAGCTACAAAAGGGTGCTCCAAATCAATACCATGTTGATGTCCTCCTTCAGCATGCCCATGATGACTGTCAGTTGCTGCTTGTACTAGTTCTGACATTAAAGGAATAAAATCCTGTTTTGTGAAAAAAAAATCAACTAGTTATTTTTTATACAATGGAACAGTTGGAAAAATCCTTTATATTCTTAAAAAGCTCTCAGCAGTTGTAACTGCACAAATTGCTCGATACGATATCTCCTGCAGTTTCAACTCAACATAATATTCTGGATGCAGATTCCAGATTCGTGGCAGCCAAAATCAACAGGTTAAGACAAACAGGAAGAAGAAGGCAATTCATGCCTGGAGTGTCTCGACAGCGTGCCAGGCTATCCCACCACCAGTGAGCAAGAGCATTCCAGAAATTCCCAAAGCTCCTACTGTTTCAAATTTTCCATGGCCTGCAAGAGCCCAACACACGAGCTAGATTTAGATAAATAGAAAAAGAGTGGTAAATCTACTGCTCCAGGAGGGAGTTTGCAGTATGGACTATGATTACATCTCATATGGAGGAAGAGCTGAGAAACTCTATTTACAGCATCATGAAAGGCACTAAATTGGGGGCCGAAGTGATGAACTCAGTGTACATCAAGGCATCTCGAGTGGAAGTCAAAGTAGAGCATTACCGTATGGATGCTCTTTGTCTTTCGGAGCACTTGCGACTTTGGAGCTCCACAGAGCCACACCACTCAAAGCCTACACATGACTCCACAGACCACAGCAGGACCATCAACATTACGACAACAGCGTGCATGTCTATCAACACTGCGGACGAGTTTCATGGGCGCATAAAACCAGGGAGATTGTCCTCCACACACCCAAAGCTCGAGTCTCAGGCTGAAAACTAAACTAGACCTTGTGGATACGCTTTAGCAATTGCCAAATTCGGCTTTTTCATCTCTGTCCTCGTCCCTCACTTCCTTCAACTGGAAACTCAACGTTGGAGTGAATCGGGTAAACTCCGAGCAAATTAGGCGAAAATTGTCGCTTGTTTGCTTCATGAAGCAAATAATCTACTTACTGTGAAAATACGTGCTAATGATGACTGTCAATTACACTAAGCACAGCAGGAATCAGGAAGAATTTCAGAAAACTTGGTTCGCACAATATCTGAAACAGAGTGGGCAGCATCGGCGATAATTGCAGTGCTCCCGGATACAAAACCAGCCCCTCCTTTGCCGATCGCCAGAAATATGTCTCCCCACAAACCCCATCGAAGAACACGCTCGCCAGCCTTTCCTGTATTATCACGTTCGCCTGGAGTATGATGAGCATGCCCCATGTGACCACGACGGAAAGTGTGCCAAATTGGACCGCCGACCAGCTCGCTCTCTCGCTGTCTACCCCTGCTAGCCCAAGGACCCACCTCGGGCGACGATCGCTGGCAAGAAGAGCTCATATATTGCCTGAATCTCAAGGCAAGGCCCGAGCACAAATTCGCTGGAACTCCGATAGGCAGCTGGGGCTCCCTAGCGCCACTCACCCGACTCCCGGCTGGGAAAAAATCAGAATTGCTGGCGAAGCTAGGCCCTTCGCCGGATTGCCTTGAAGCGAGAAGACCATGAGAAGATTCATCATCCTCATCAGACGAGGTGCGCGAGGACAATTGGCAAGCGTGTTCGCGTCCTACATTTGACAGGACTCGAGACGAAATCACAGAAGACAGAGACGCTGCGAAATTGTGAAAGGTCCGTGAATTGGCAGGACTATTGAATGAAAGCGCCATGCTCTGCCTCAGTCTCAGTATCTGGTTCAGGTTTCTCATTTTCCGTCCTCAGGTCTGAATGTTTGAGCCCGATCAGTCTGAATTGCTACCACTGCCGTCGCTGCATCCATGATCATCACGGTTCAGCAGTCACTGGCCAATTCCACACATGCCCGTGTTGTGTTGGCCACCAGCTCCCTCCGTCTCAACATGGATTTGGGGACAAGTTCGAAATAGAAACGAAGCAGATGCTGACCAACCTCCGCCCCGCAACAAAAGCATCGCTCCTCCGAGTATCCTGTTTTTTATAAAGCATGAGCTCGTCGTGCACGGACCTGCTGATTCAGGAGACAGTGCGAGGCCGACCTGCTCTGCTCCATTCGCTCGATTTACTCGCAGGCCAGATCGACATCCACAATGCTTCTGACTGACAGAACTCACTGAGGCCAAAGCAAGGGTCCTCGTGCAGCACTCTGCGTCGAGCTCAGATCTTTGAAGGTGGAGACAGGGAACAGAGCTCGGATTCGGCCTTGGCCTTTCCCGGCATCAACGATCAAGAGGTGAGGTGAATCCGGCCACCAAGTTCACAAACTGTTGAGAATTTCTGCTCCCTCGTTCTGATCTGATCTTGCTCTGGCTCTAATTCTCCTGTTTGCCTTCGTCGTTGTGTGCGTTTGGCTCTATGCTTCTTTTTGTGTGTCTCTCTCTCGTCTCCGAGCCATTAATGCCATTTGGGAGATCAAGAGAAGGAGACTCATAGTAAGAGTTGATCTTAGGTTGACAATGCTTGTAGTGTTATCATGCATTTAGCCTATTACTCACACCATTTCCTTTACTTTACAACAATGAGGATGGATGTTGGCTTCCTCCACCCATAAGCATCTCCAAGCTTCATATATGGGTGTTGGTTGGGTCAGATAGAATGAGGATTCATGCCAATCGTAGTCGATGGGAGGTGAGACTAAAAATATCAGAGATGCGATTTTTGCTTATGACATGATATAAATGAATAGGTAACACAGAGTGAGGCTGAAATGATTTGCAATGGACTCCAATTGAACAGACTTTTACTTGCTCTGCAACGATCACATTGTTATAACATTTATTGTGTGAATCATTCTGCAGCTAACATAGATTAAATGGGTGATAACAACTATGCAAGGATGAGAGTAGCTTTATAATCCATGGATAGGGTATGCATAGAGTACTGATTTTATTCCACATGCCATTATAGTAGTGTGGTATAGTAGTTGTTGCGACCAAAGTCCTGTCTCCTTGGCAACATGCGAACCAATTTCCAACCTTCGTCAATCCAATGATTTAGAAAGAGATACAAAAGAAGTAAAATCTGATCTGTACGAAATCAATCATTGTACATAAACTAGGACACATCGAAATATATCCCATTTAAAGATAATGGAGCCCAGACCAGCACGATCTCTTTTGGTTTCATGACATCTTCCCGTACTTTTATTTATTCTGTTGTGTTCTCTCAACATCATCCGTCCAAGACCCGATGGGATACTCCGTCGTTTTCGCTATTTTACTCGCAGCTTCCTGCTCTCCGCGGTTCACACCTGCGAAAGCGAAAGCGGAAGCGAAAGCGAAAGCGAAATATGACGTGCAGGGACACGAACTTTGCTGCACTTCACCAATTCCATTCGAATTTCAGTCGAACGCCCGTTGCCAGCCATGGCGCTCCCGGCAGGAGCTCGTTGCTGGGCGCTCCCTGCGGATGGTCGAGCCGTCCATGCGTGCCCCTCTGCTCGAGCGGCCCCCGAAGCTGCGAATGTCGGAGGGCACTTGTGTCGCGATCACGGGAGAGCGCGAAGAGGAGCACGCCCTCTTGGAGATGGAGTCCGTTCTTCCTGCGTCTCGGTGCGGCCAATCTTCTTCGGAGGCACTTCGGAGGGGGCGGCGGCATCTGCCAGGAGGAGGACTCTCGTCCAGTGCTCTGAGGCTTCTTCTTCTTCTTCTGCTGCAGGTGAGACTTTTCGTGCTCAATTGAGACTAGGGAGCTCGAATTGAACGGAAGTATCTGAAGTGATTGATGGAGGTTCAGAATTGGCGGATTGCATTTGTAGTTCTGTTGACTGTCCTGTCTTTTCGTTGGAGAGCTTCGTCAGTGGCTTCGGGGTGATTCCGAATGTACTAGACTTGAGTTGCGACGACGTTCTTCGGAGTTTTGATTCTTGGATCGAGTTGGTCGATTTTGCCTTGGAGTTTTATTTGGTCTCATCTGAATTGCGACGGTACTGTCTTGCGAAATCTGGGATCATGAATTGCCTGGCCTGGGATCCATATGCTTTACACAGGGGTTCGAGAGGGGAATTCCGAGCTCTTCTCAACGAACTCGTTCACAGATGGGAGGTGGGAGGCAATTTTGAGCCGGTTGGAGTTAGTGTTTAAATCATCCCCGGAAACTTCGTTGATTGAGGGGCGTTGGGTGAAGCTTATTTGTGGAGCCAGCTTTGAGGTTAGTCATGAGATTTTACAGAACATGGTACGCCCATGGCGACGCGTGCTTTGTGTTACACTACAGACTATGGAGAAATCTGCAACGTACTTGTCGTTATTGATTGTTGAAATTTCATGCGGCTGTTTTTGTAAGTGTAAAGTATTTGACAACGCTTGGCAGGACATTGCAGATGTGCGGAATTTGTCGCTAATCTACGCGTTAGCCGGTGGTAAGAACCTCATTCTTTGCAAGCAAGTTCGAAAGTTATTTGATCAGTTTCGTTTCTTTGCAAATTGTATAAGAACGGGAGATTTATGCCTGACACTTGTTTACCACTAGGGACCTAGTAACTGTTCCTCTCTTCTTTAAGGTACTATGCTTCTGGATAATCCACTATGTTTTATATATGTATTAACTTGTGTATTCTTCCACAGTTGACTGTACCTAAGCTCACCTTGATCGAGATAGGCTTTACTGCTGTGCGCGAATTACCAAGTAATCGAGGGTGTTGTCTTGGTGACAAACAGTTGATTGCATTGATTGTGCCGCGGATTCGGCGATTGTTGCGGCTGTTTTAGAAGGAATAAATGCTGCCGAGCAAGTTTTGCAAACCATAGGTAGTGGCATAGCGCGCTCATTCAAAAAGCCATGGGTTATGATCAGCATAAATGATGACGAAGACCCTCATTTCCGGAAAGCAGGTACACCTGATGCTTTGCACTGATTTTCAAATGTCTCACAAGGTCTGCGATCTTTCCTGGACCTTGCATTATGGATACAGGGAAAAGAGTCCAAAGCAGAAATATCTGGGTTTAAGACCGGTCAGTTGCTTGGAATTTTGTTCACGGTACTGAATATTGCTTGCTTGATCTATTGTTGGCTTGTGCAGAATTCGATTCGCTTGAATGCCCCACGAACTGCCCACGCCCATGTGAACGAGTATGTCCTGCTTCGGCTATAAAGTTTCAAGACTCGAATCAGAAAGCCTCTTCTAACCACCTGGTATGTAGGTTTCTTTCATCAAGTCCCTGACTTAAGAGAGGGACGTCAGTTTTATTTGTAGTTGCGAACTGAAATATAATAGAAAGAGAAAGGGATTGTCGTATGCTGCCATAAACGTTCCTCCAAATATATGTATGTATATATATGGCCTAATTTGTAGTTTGTCCTAGAACCCATATGTTGGAATTTTCGGACCATGAATCTGGAGCAGAGCCACAGCAAGCCGGCCTAGTATAGAGAGGAAATCTACACTGGTGAACAGTGAAGTACATAGATTCTGGGTATCATGGATCACAGCAGTCTCTGTCAGCTGAGTATTCTCGAGTCAAATTTGAAAGGTGATTTATTATGGAAAACCTCTTTGCAGGACGGTGGCGTAATTGTTGATCGATGTTATGGTTGTGGTCGATGCCTTCCAATATGCCCTTTGGGTCTCATTAGTAAGTGATATATTCTCTCTTACCTCGCTAAGTTGGTGCACGTAGAGTCTGCTTAGTCGGTGAGGAAGTTGGCTGTTGAGGTGCTAGAAACATCCATTGTTCGTGACGAAAGTTGGAGCAGTTGTATCTACATTTTTAAACTAGTATTGCTCGTCTTTCAGGTGCCATATCTTATGTGCGACCTTTGGAGACCGTGGCCAGTTTGTTGCGTAGTGAAGATGTGGATGCAGTTGAAATACATACAAGAGCTGGGTATGTTTCTTTCACCTAATCTGACGAGTCATCTCAGTACATCCTCTTTTTATAGAGATTTGTTTCTAGTTAATAATCGGTTGGCACATACATCCAAATGCTCTTTCGGAATTTTGTGGTATCAATTTGATCTTGAGACGGTATCTACTCAAAAAATTGAATGTGTTGTAATGGACAAGTGACAAAGGTTGTTTGATGCTCACGATGGATTTTTCTTTGTATCCTTCAGCGTCTGACCTGTTTAGAGTTCAAGAATACAGAGAGTTAGACTTATCTTGAGGACTGTTATTATGGTAGGATCTCATGTATGACGTATTGTTAAATCTTATTCATAGTCCCTGCTGTATATGCAGACATTTGAGCTCCTTTCGAGAGTTAGTTTCCCAGCTGGGAAATGCTTTTTCGTCTCTGAAACTTGTAGCTGTAAGCATTATCAACATTCCTTACTCCTTGTTGGCTCAATTCAGATCTTGGAAGTCAGTGGTGAATAGCTATGTCCGGTAGAACTTTGTGAGGTATTAAACTCACAGGCTCACTACGAGCTTCATGACAAATGTGTGCATTTTCAGTCTCTAATAATTTCTTCAACTTGTTTCTACTAACAGGTCAGTGTACCTGATTTAGAGGAGTTAATGATTCCAACTCTAAACGCCATGTATACGTCTATGAAACCTTTCGTGAAGAATCTCAATCTCTGGCAGGTCTGTCCTCCGTCACTCAATAGAGCAGGTAATGATATTGTAATGTAAGATGCACGGCAGTTTCAACCCTTACACTTTGTGCCAAGAAGTGCCAGAAGAAATATGCAGCCGCCTGCGATATCTGTAGGTGGAATATCTGCTCCACATGAGGCATAATATGTTCTTTGTTGGTCTGGTTGAAAGTCGTTTTTTTGCTGTTTCCAACAAATGCGGTTTTCTGCATTTCCGCAAAATATCACTGAAGAAACGATTGAATTACAATAATGTTCGTGGCTTTGCGCTTTCCATTGTTAGTCCAGTAGTTTGCATCATTCCCTTTCATGATAAGCCCTTGCAGTTAACCATGTACTATCTCAACGTAGAACTTGAAGCAACACCATTACAGAATTCACCTGAAAACTGCGTTAGCTCTTACAGTTAGATGGGCGGCCGATGAGTGGAGATATTGGAGTTGGTGCCACAAGAGCAGCCGTAATGTTGGCTCAAAAGGTGGTTTCGTCTTCAGAGAGACCTCCAGGTATGTTACAACGAATAAATTCAACTCCAGGATGCACAACGTTTGATGATTTAAATGACCATGACGCGGTGGTACCTGCACTGCAATGGTGCCACTACTGAGGTGCCTGTCAATAGACGATTAGTCTGTCAGCTACTTACGAACTTTGGCGGGTCATGCGGCGTAACTAGTAGTGGTTATACAGATTCAATAATATTGATGCTAAAGATTATCGTGCTCATACTTGAAATGCTGAGAATGCGTTAGCTTTAAACCAAAAATATCTATCATATGCCCTTTGTAATGCAAGTCCTGCTTGTCTTTCCACTCTTGCTTGTCATTATACAAGTGACTCAAATTGACTACTTCTGGAAAAGGTTTTATTCAACTTGCTGGAGGAACGAATGCGCATACTGCAACAGCTTTAAAGAACGTGGGCTTGCAACGCTGCATAACATACGAGAATCATGGTAAGCTCTTCCAAACTTGTGGCTAAGTTTTCAGAACATTGTTTCATTGCAGACTTTTTTTCATCTGGAAAGATTGAATCATATGTATGTGCATGCTGTAGGGGTATCTCAGCAATACGAAGACAACCAAAGTGGGTCGGCAGTGATCGCAGGAGTTGCCTACGGAGGATATGCACGGAAGGTAAGAATTAATTTGACGGTTGGACCCATACGCTCTCCATTCTGGTTAAGAGTGCTAAAATGTTTGACTGATATTTTTCAATTTCGTGTACTCCGGTTCTTAAAAGGGATCGGCATCAAAAGTTTCAAATAGGTGTAATACCAGTTAAAAAAGAAAACCTAACTTATAGAAGTGCTTTAGCCTTTAAACACGGAAATTCGACTCTCGACACCTTCATGGGGAGCCTTCAATAATTGGTGAAGAGAGTTTAATTTATAGAACAAATAGCAAAGTAATAATAATTTGCAACAATTTTTAAAATCGTAATTCTCTAGCAATTGGACCAAAAACTCAGAAACTTGAGGGTGAGCTAATACAAGACGAAATTTTTTGACGGTAGAAGTGTGCGCAGTAAGCAAAGAACTTACAACGGTCAAAACCTTCCCCGAAACAAGAAAAAACGTGGACCAACTAGATGTGGTGCGCTATAAAGTGTTGGTTTCTGATGGTTATTACTTCTATCACCTATGAGAGGCATGATAAAATTCATTTGCAGACGTCAAGACTGTTAACGCAATATTGCTTGCCTCTACGGAACACGACTTGGAATTGGACGGCAGGAAAATGGATAGGTCTCCGAAAGTTGCTAAATTTAAGGCTACAGTACTTGGGATCAAAGTCGTGGTGCCTATATAATGTGCAACGTAGTTTTAGAATATTATACGCTGTAAAACTACCTCCGAACAGTGGATGTAACCAGAGTAAGAATTGAGGGCCAGGAATGTCTTAGGAACTAAGGAACAGATTATGTGAGCCATGATGATCCTGGAGCATCATGCGGAAGTGCTGGACAACGTATTCCCATTCCAGGTAGTTCAAGTCAGGAAAGAAAAAACGCACCACGAGTGCTTCTTCCTCGATCTCAGGAAGGCTCTTGACACGGAATTGTGAATAGATCTTCGTCCCAGTTTTGGAAGGCACGTTGGAGAAGAAAACCTGGCATATTGTGGACCAGCCTTCCAACAAGAGGCAAGAGGGACTTCCAAAACTTTGGACAGGAGCGATTTATTCACCTTTGTAGATATTTCTAAGTGGGTGCCCTCGTACAACGGGCTCCTGAAATGGAGGTGTGATTCCATCTCAAATCAATACCTTAGTACCTACCTTAATTTTCTACCCTAGCCGCGTTGATTATGCGAGCTGATGCGAGGAGTCATGGGACAAACTGTCAAGAGATATGAAGTTTCGTAGTTCATAAAACTTGTAAGAGTCTTACTATAAGAATATCCACTTTTTATTTTCTCGAATATCACCGCCTCCGATAAACGTTGTAGTGTATGCAGTCGTCCATTTAGTTTATTCTCTTGTTTGTCTGCTCCTCCCCTTGTTAAAGGTCGAAATATGCCTATGGTCGCTTTGTCTGTTGAAGCTGGTTCTGTTCAAAGACTGCATTCTTCAGATGTGTAGACCACATTTAAGTCCTTTGTCCGAGTTGCATGGTCGAGCAAACATGAGTTTTGGTATTCGAAGAAAGGATCGAACATTCCTGTTACTTTGGGCCGAACGAAATCTCCTCCTTTTCTCTCCCTCTTCTGCGAGGAATCCTGATTGAGTCAACCCGGTTAGGTCTTCTTGCCAGGGTTGACGCAGGCGGTCATTTGAGTTTTTCTGGAGTCTCTTGACGTGCGTTCAAGTTTCTGATTTGTATGTCTTCAAATTCTTTTTCTAACGTGTTTTGAGAGAGTTTTCCTTCTTTCATACAATCTCTAACTATATCCGTATATTCTCATCGTCTACTTTTATCACACGCACTAACGAGCCAAGGCGCGGGTCTTAGTTCTCTGAGGATATGTAAGGCACTTGCTATTGAGGGTATCTGGTCTCCACGTTTTTGCCCCGTACAAAATGATCAATCTCCAGTCTATAATGATCCCTACAGTCTTAACACTGATCAGTAAATAGAAGAGAGAAGACCACAATGAAATCCTGTAAACTACGTGAAAGTTGCGTAAATGACCTGGATGGACTGAAGAGTCGGATTAAGTAGCTTGCTTCAACGGTTGCAGTTTGAATTTGACAGATGAGGTTTGTGTATTGCAGATCGTGGACAAGTTTCTCAGACATGTGGGTGAAGAGGAAACGTGCGGTGATGTGCTGGTGAACCGAAGTAGCAACCAGATGGAACATTATCCTCATTTTCTCCTTCACGCTGTTTTAGAAGCGAACGTTCTTGTTGACAGTATAAAATGTAGTGTGAATCAAAATTATCCTATTTCGACTGTCCCGGAATCTCACGAACACATGTAATACATGTATTTACATCTTATGGCTACAAATTATAAACACGACTGGTCTTGTATCAATTCTCGCAACGCTCCCTGGAGTGGACTGCATTGGAGCACCTTGCTTCAAGCTACCTTGAAAATGGTTATCGTTTATGCGCTTCATGTGTGCAATATTTCATAGCATAAATGCAATGTGTAGATCACGATTGCGCTGCATTCTACTAGTATATGGTTCAAATGTTGGTCATATATTTGTCGATCGCTTTGATTACATACATTTGATCTTGCTAAACCTTGATATTCCCCTTCAAAATCCTTTGCACGGGCAAATGTATGAGGGTGGGCATGCCTCGGTAGTTATGATACATACTGGCTAAATAAGAACCAATACCTGGTAGTGGTACCTATTATTCACAACGTATGCAGGTTATATCAAGTCGGGAGGAAAAACGATCCTGCAAACTGAAATCCTGCGAAGCGGAGAAGAAACAGAAGAAAGAGCCGAGCTACGAAGGAAGTTTGACATTTGCGAACAGGGATTCGTAATTGTGATTGCGGTGGTTTGGAAAGCTGAATGAGAAGAAGAGCATGAGGAGAAGACTTGAAAAACTCGTACATTGCTTGCAAGGATATCAAGACCCATTCTGATGTGACTTGATGTCTAAGCTTAATCTGGCAATTTGTTGCATTCTGTGATCTTGAAATGATGATCAGACCAGTTTTCTCTTAGAATTAAGGTGTAATGAAAACGCTAGGGGCTCCAGGCGAGGAAATTGGGAGTGCGATTTTGAAGGTTGACTGGATGCGATAAATTTTCAACTTTGTCCCGCAACAATGCAACTCTACGACGTGATGAACGAGCAAGATAAGTCTTAGCACGGACGAAGTTTGCTTTCGTTTTAGTGTTTGACGTCTAAAGACCTGTGGAATTAAAATTGTGCATTCGTTTTAGTGTTTGACGTCTAAAGACCTGTGGAATTAAAATTGTGCATGTGCTCACATGCTCCACTGTTGAGCTAGAAGAAGCTAGAAGAAAAATCATACCAGCGAAGGAAAATCTGGAGTATTCATACAATCTGTACAAAGTTTTTTGACATTGTGTTTAGTGAACTACCCAAAGGCTTATCAGTTTGTTCTGAACCCACGAGTTGCGTAGAGTTATGTAGACGACTCTACGGTCTTGAAAGCAAGAAAAAAAGGTTGCCAAGTTTTGTCAGCCAAGCTGAGTACGCATATGCCACTGAGGTGTCAGAAAAGATTCGCTTGCTTGAATATATCACATATTCAAGGAAATTGATTCCATGAAGATAAACTTTGAAATATCCGCTGTCAGCATGACGACATGGAGTGTATCGTGACTCTGAAGCATTCATCCACGTCTTCTGTTCGCTTGCACAACAAAGTCAAGATTCACTCCCACCTTCTAAGACCGTTCGCCAATCACACCGAACATGGAAGAACGCGCTTGCTTGTTGTGTTCGCGTGTTGTCGCTACATCGACCGCCCACACGATTCAATGACAAGGTCTGATTCCCACGCGCTACCACTGTAGGATCTGTCCTCACGTTGATCTTGATGCAGCTAGATTCGCATTCTCCCAGTCCAATTCTACATTCAGTTTTTCACATCTCAGCTTACTTCACATCTGAAATCTGCACTCCCATGAGTTCCATGACGTTTTGCGTCCAGATCCCTCCACTCAGTTTGTTCACCAGTGCACATCAAACTCAGTTTGTTCACCAGTCTCCCTATTCGAGGTTTGGATCTCGAGAGAAGTGAAGTACCTTTGCACATTCTTTACACATTCTCTACGAATTCCTGTGGAAACAGAATCCAGGTTGTCACGTTCGTATCGATTCACATCACTTTACGTACCCTCCACTGCCTCCTGCTTCCACTTTGCACGATCTTCCTGGTTTTTGCTGATTATCCTTGTATGAGCAGAGCTTGGGGTACTCTGGGTCGCTCCTCTCGCACCGCGCTAGCAGTCTCATGCCCAGCATTCACATCACTCGAGAGGTGGCACTGCGACGGAAAGTTTCGGTTTTCTTGTGACTGAACGGGGCTCGTTTAGGCTTCCGGTGAGTCCATGCTAAGTCCCGCTGCTGAACTTGCGACACGGGGAATGGACACCGCAGACGAGGAACCAGAGCTTCCCTCCGCTGTCCAAGACCTTATACGGCGTCTGGAAGGGCAACGGACGTTTGGACGGTTTCCTCCCATATTATTGGTCCAGAATACATATATTGGTCCAGAATTGGAGGATTTCTTCCCGGCGGATGCCCCGCTTTCGACGAACACTGGGTGGCGAAGCAAAGTGCGCCTTCGAGTGCTGGAGGCAATCGGCAGCTGCAATAGCTTTGAAATTCTAGAGATAGAATATATTTGTGGCCGTAATATATCGAGGTTGACCGCTAGGGAGTGGGAGATAGTGTTGAGAGGTTTTCGGTCCAGCAGCGTTCTACGAAAGATGAGCATTGACAACCTGAGATGGAGTTCCGAAGCGGATTTGGAGAGCTTGGGTGTACAGCTGGGGATAATTCTGAATACCTCTAGTGTAACACATTTGAGAATATATGATTGCACATTGACCGAGAGATTTTTCTTGAATCTCGCATCAGGACTGCCAGAAAATTCCCACTCGAAACTCAAGTCTTTAGAAGTACATACCTGGGCATTCCGTACAACCTTGGAGGACGGAGCCAACGAGGTGAACGCGGTGAAGTTTATCGTTGAGGTGTTGAACGGTCATCATCAATTAGAAACTTTGATTTTAGTCTCATCCAAATCCAACCACGTGGACGATCTGGTCGTTCGGCTCTTGTCCCAGGCTTTGAAGCAGAACTCGTGTTTAAAAGAATTGGTTTTACAAGAAGTGGAGGGTGGATCTGCCGCGTTATTGCTGAACGCATTGGCCGGAGATGATGGCAACCGATCGATTGAGCGACTTCAGCTGGTTTATATGTCTGGAATTGGGAAATGTTTAGCAGAAGTTTTCATTTCCAATCGATCATTGAGAGTAGTCACGTTGCACGGCATCTTCATGCCTGTGGAGGAATGGCGCTTGCTAGGCGAAGCCATCCGTGACAATGCCACAGCGACAACTGTTACCGTAAGGGTTGATGCACCTGGAACTCCTGGGAACTGGGGACGAGAAGAGGTTGCTCGCGCTGCTAGCTCCGATAAGAAGGATCCAGTGCTGCATCTTGAAGTCATTAGTGAGGATGAAATGTCAGCGCTCAACCTCTTAGGTAGTGTACTGCGAGGGGAAATCAAGTCTGTAAAATCTCTTACTCTATTTTTTCCCTTTTACATTTCAGGTGGCAACCTAAGGAGTATGGAAGATATCATTCCGATGAATGGAATAATTGGAGAAACTTCAGTTCTAAGTAGACTACATTTACACTTCAATTACAGAAGGGAAGATAGTTTGGAGCGAGTATGGAAGCAACTGCTTTTGTGCTTGCGTGGGAACACAAGTGTCACTAGCTTGTGTTTGTCTCTCGATGGATTCAAGGGAGACTTCAAGAAGCAATTCAGAGAGCTGATGTCAGTACTGCAAGTGAACTTGACTCTCCGGGAAATAGATGTGTCCCGGACACCATGGGCGAGGAACGGAACGGCGGCGCTGATTGAAGCGGCCCTCAAGCAGAACCAGGAGCGGGCCGTGTACATGTCAGTATTCACTGAAGCCAAACTACCATTGGGAGATGCAAAAGCCGGTCGACTCTTCTTATGCGGCTCTCCTAGAGCAGGTAAGTGCTCAGTTTGTACTTTTATTTTCTCAATGTGTTCAAACGTGCAATATAAGGTCTTGCTTTTGTACAATTGACGGTTTATTTCTATATATATACATATTTGTCTGAAATTAGAAATAGAAGAAAATGAAAGCATTCAAAATTCCAAATAATTTTGTTTCGATAGTTTCAAGTCAGTAAATTGGAGAGTTAATAAATTATCTTCAATCCAATTTATCTACACTCCATTTTTATAAAACATCATTTCAAATTATCTTTGAAGATATCATAAGTAACACATGATTTTCATTCAATGTACAGGCAAGACTCAATTGCGTCGAACTCTGATGAAGATCATTCGGGACAAGACCTGGTTCAGCGAATCACTGGAAAAATTGTCAAGGACGAAAGGCATTGAAGTGGATTTTTTGCAAAACGATGATAAAATGCAAATCTCAATTTGGGATCTTGCAGGACAATGGATTTTTCGTACCCTTCAAGCTGTACTGTTCCCTCAAACCAACTACTTTTGTGTTTTTCTTTTTGTGTATAGCCCTTTCTGTGAGGAAACATCTTCTCCCAAACCACCCTCTTCTTTCCGGACTGAGTTGGAAGGCTGGCTGACTTTCATCTCATCCAGCACTAAAGTCATGGGCCATAATCTTCCTCAAGTTCTTGTTGTAATTTCACACAAGGATAAGATGGGGTCCAACTCTTTGGATTGGGTTCCCTCCATAGTGGAAGACCTCAAAATAAGATTTGCAAACTATGTGGATCTCCGTCCTCTTTATGACTTTCTTTATGTGAATGCTCGAAAAAGGAATCAAGTGATTCCTCTCAAAAATCACATTTTTGAGATGTTCAAGACATTGTTGAGTGAAAATTCCCCACGAGTTCCCCAATTGTGTTTTCAACTCTCTTCCCGACTTCTTTCAAACATCAAGAAGAACAAAACTTGCCCTCTTTGGTCATTGAACGATTTTAGTACTTTCTGTGATTCCAGCTTGAAACAACTCATTCTACCATCTTCTGTTGATCATCTAAGATTATTGACCTCCCTCTTATCCTACTTAAATGATGTTGGATCCATCATTTGTATTCCCAATCTTGATCACATCATAGTAGATCCGAATTGGCTTACAAATTCAGTTTTGGGTGAGCTAATAGCTATGGGTCAACACTTTCAAGCTCGAGAGTCCAAGGCATACGAGAACACGATGCCATATAACTCATATGCGAGGAAGGACGGATTTATGAGTGAGGGAGACTTTGCTCTATTGATAAAAACGTTCTTGCAGAAGCACCCAAGCCTTCAAGATGTTGGTAGAGAGGTCCTTGAAAAGATTATTTTCAATCTAGATTTGGGTTTCAAGCTCGAAGATTCTTTTGAATATTTCATTCCCTCCTTCATCCCTGAGTATGCAAGCATGAAGGATAAGAAGCAGCAAGAAGCGGCGGGCGTGGTGTCGATGTCATGGGACTCTAAGGTTGCAAATCCAAAGTTTTTCGGCATGCGGATTCAATGTGAAGATGGAAAAACAATGTCACTGTCTGCTGCGTTTTTTCCACACTTCCAGGTGAGGTTGAATCATGAATGCATAGAGATTGAGAAAATATTGAATTCGTCAAGATGATTGTAATTTGTGTAAGATGAATTCAATTTTTCTTTTTTATCAGTTATGTCAAATCAGTAGATTACATTGTCTCACTCAATCTGTTACAAAATTTCTATCATTGTAGGTGTTCATGAGACGCAAGTTGAAATCCGGGACTGTGAGACTTTCTCGACATTATCTGCAACTCTTACTCGATGGTCACCAAATTTATGTGGAGCACCATCAGAATGAAAAGTGCCAAAATTACGTAGATGTTCTGATGTTATGCTCAGAGCATAAGTCAAAGGAGGAGGCCATTAAATATGTACTGAAGCATGTTGTCCAGGAGTTGATATCCTTTTGCGCATCACCCAAAGGCTGTCCCGGCGTGGCGTTAGTGCTCGGTGTTATCCAAACAGTTTGCGTGGAGAAGCTGAGTCCGAGTCATTTCAGAGGAGCCATTCTGATTGAGGAGCTCAAATCAGAGTTCTGTACTAGCATCAATGACAAACTTGGGGATATTCCGTTGGATAGGTTGCAATTGGTGAAGGAGGAGGAGTTGCTCAACTATGAGCATACTTGGCCTTCGATTCCAGCTTTGCATTTAAACGCAACATTCGAACAGGCTACGAATCTGCTGTGGGAGAGCGAGGTGGAAGCGGTTGTAAATGAGATCCCACAGAAGCATAAACAATTGGAGTCATTGCAGCAAAGCATCATCAGCTTGAACGAGGATTTGGCTCAGTCTCAGCCTGAATGCGAGATAACAATTAGCAACTCGAGTTTACTTCACAGAGAAGACTGCAATCCAGATTCAGCCAGCTGCTCGAACCAGGCCAGCACAAGTTCGGACACCCAGCTTATTTTGTCCGAGATCCACAGTGTGCATGAGACAGTGAGATCAGTGAAGAGCATTGTGCAGGGATTGGATGTGAAGTTAATCTCTCTGCAAAAACAACTGCAGTCAACATTCAGTGACTTCATGTCTAAAGTTGACAGAATGATCAAGTATTCAGAATCGCATCAGAAGAACAAAACACCAAAGCGTCCTTATGTCACGAACGATGTTGGCCTTTTCTACAAGATGAGTGCACTTCTACATGTTGGAACGGTTGTTCGGTTACACTTGATGTGTGAGTCCGTCACTGGGTTTCATCCCGTCAAAGGTCAAGAAGGTTTGATGCTGCGATTGAATAAGGAGAATAGCAGGTGGATTCCAAGAGTTATTGAGATTTCATACAAAGTCCTGTATTATGCTGTAAAGGCTGGACTGGATGTGACCCTCGGGTTAGGCGAAGCTATTCCGGACTGGGATGATCTGAAAACTGATATTGTTAAGCTAGATAATATCAGTGAGAATGATCGTTGGGCAATTCAAAATAATGGGCATAGTGTGCAGCTGAACGAAGCATGGTTGAGGATTCAGCAAATTCTTGAGCCTCAGCTTAAATATCGCTATTCCGAAATTTTCAAGTTGTATAAGGTGAAGTACAAAAATGGTGGGCATGCATGGGTGTGCGAGGAGTGCATGGGAAAAGGTGGTCTCTTTGAAGTTAATCTGACATGTTAGGATTTAAAGAGGTTAGAATGTCATTATGCAATTGGCATGCATATGTTTAAACCCTCTTGCAATATAAACCTTTGCACAATCTTCCTTATATTTTTCACAGGTACATGCCTTTTATAAGTTGTGTAATCATGTCAAACCGCGCAGTTATGTTTATGAAGAGGATAACTGTTTGTTTAAACTATCAAGATTCGTTTTTTGAGGGCAGAGTGTTCCTTATGTCTTGTTGCAAGTCTCACCATGATGACATCCTTTTCATTGAAACTAACCGTTAGTCACCTTGATCTTCGATACATATACCTGAATGATTCTTCTGTTGTTGCATGATAACTGATAAGGTCCAACAACTGTATAATGGACAGGAAATAAAAATCAGGTTATGTCTTCAATTTCAGCGAGTAGCTGTGTTTGAACAACAGAACAATTTCTACAACAAAAAATTGCCCCCAAACCCTACAAGAGAGAAACTCTATCTATATATAATCTTTATAACTCTGTTCGTCATGGACTAACAGAGTTATGTACATACACTCACAGATATTGCTGAAACCGGACAAGCAGTTTTTGATTTCGGATCATCTACTATTGAGTCTCGCGACTGTAAAGTCAAAATGGAAGGGCTAGGTGTAAGATTTTCAATGTGTTTTCTATTTTTTTGTTCTGTATGTCTCTTCTCTTGTCTTGATGCTTCCCATCTCATGTATGTAGGTATTCGAGGAGCCTGTTTCGCTGCCCTCCTTGAACCTGTTGAACATGCAGAAAGAATTATCCACATCCCAGCATTTCAGTTCTAATGAACGATGTGTCAGGTCAAGGTTGACAAGCTCATTTCTCTCTGTGATACACCCTGATAACATGCGTTGTGCTGGCAGTGATCTCAACATAATATAAAAGGCCAGCTCGCTCAAACCTGTCACGTGTAGAAATATGCTAGTTTCGTAGCACGATTTCCTTCCCAGTTGGACTGCGTGTGTACGTTCAGTTACAGAGTCTCTTGCAGCAATTTGACTAAAAATTCGAATGAAACTGCAGGAACTCGTTTGATGAATATCATGAAAAACGTGATTCTTGTTGCAATTCCTTGACTAGAATGGTGGATTGTATCAATCCAACCAAACGTCTCAAACGACTTACACACGTCTCCTATCTTCCAAGCTCAGAGACGAGAAAGATCGTGGTCATTGGAAAGATCGAGATAGGCTTTACTGCTGTGTTCGAATTACCAAGTAATCGAGGGTGTTGTCTTGGTGACAAACAGTTGATTGCATTGATTGTGCCGCGGATTCGGCGATTGTTGCTGCTGTTTTAGAAGGAATAAATGCTGCAAGTTTTAGAAGCAATAAATGCTTTTCCAAATCATAGGTAGAGGCATAGCGCGCTTATTCAAAAAGCCATGAGTTATGATCAGCATAAATGATGACGAAGACTCTCATTTCCGGAAAGCAGGTACACCTGATGCTTTGCACTGATTTTCAAATGTCTCACAAGGTCAGCGATCTTTCCTGGACCTTGCATTAGAGACATGGAAAAGAGTTCAAACAAGAAATATCTGGGTTTAAGACCGGTCAGTTGCTTGGAATCTTGTTCACTGTACTGAATATTGCTTGCTTGATCCATTTTTGGCTTGTGCAGAATTTGATTCGCTTGAATGCCCCACGGACTGCCCACGCCCATGTGAACGAGTATGTCCTGCTTCGGCTATAAAGTTTCAAAACTCTAATCAGAAAGCTTCTTCTAACCACCTGGTATGTGGGTTTCTTTCATCAAGTCCCTGACTTAAAAGAGACGTCAGTTATATTTGTAGTTGCGAACTGAAATGTAATAGAAAGAGAAAGTGATTGTCGTATGCTTCCATAAACGTTCCTCCAAAAATATATATTTGCCCTTATGTTGGAATTCTCGGACCATGAATCTGGAGCAGAGCCACAGCAAGTTGGCCTAGTATAGAGAGGAAATCTACTCTGGTAAACAGTGAAGTACAGAGATCCTAGGTATCATGGATCACAGCAGTCTTTGTCAGCTGAGTATTCTCGAGTCAAATTTGAAAGGTGATTTATTATGGAAAACCTCTTTGCAGGACGGTGGCGTAATTGTTGATCGATGTTATGGTTGTGGTCGATGCCTTCCAATATGCCCTTTGGGTCTCATTAGTGAGTGATATATTCTCTCTTACCTCGCGAAGCTGGTGCACGTAGAGTCTGCTTAGATGGTGAGGAATTTGGCTGTTGAGGTGCTAGTAACGTCCATTGTTCGTGACGAAAGTTGGAGCAGTTGTATCGACATTTTTTAACTAGCATTGCTCGTCTTTTAGGTGCCACATCTTATGTCCGACCTTTAGAGACTGTGGCCAGTTTGTTGCATAGTGAAGATGTGGATGCAGTTGAAATACATACAGGAGCGGGGTATATTTCTTTCACCTAGTCTGACGAGTCATCTTAGTACATCCTCTTTTTAGAGATCATCATCAGATAATCATTAGTTGGCACATACACCCAAATGCTCTTTCGGAATTTGATGGTATCAATTTGATCTTGAGAATTTATCTACTCAAAAAATTGAATGTGTTGTAATGGACAAGTGACAAAGATTGTTTGATGCTCATGATGGATTTTCTTTGTATCCTTCAGCGTCTGCCCTGTTTAGAGTTCAAGATTACAGAGAGTTAGACTTATCTTGAGGACTGTTATTATGGTAGGATCTCATGTATGACATACTGTTAAATCTTATTCGTAGTCCCTGCTGTATATGCAGACATTTGAGCGCCTTTCGAGAGTTAGTTTCCCAGCTGGGAAATGCTTTTTCGTCTCTGAAACTTGTAGCTGTAAGCATTATCAACAAACCTTACTCCTTGTTGGCTCAATTCAGATCTTGGAAGTCAGTGGTGAATGACTTTGTCCGGTAAAACATTATGAGGTATTATACTCACAGGCTCACTACGAGCTTCATGACAAATGAGTGCATTTTCAGTCTCTAATATTTTCTTCAACTTGTTACTACTAACAGGTCAGTGTACCTGATTAAGAGGAGTTAATGATTCCAACTCTAAACGCCATGTATACGTCTATGAAACCTTTCGTGAAGAATCTCAATCTCTGGCAGGTTTGTCCTCCGTCACTTAATAGAGCAGGTAACGATGTTGTAATGTAACTTCTTGGCACTTTGTGCCAAGAAGTGCCAAAAGAAATATGCAGCCGCCTGCGATATCTGTAGGTGGAATATCTGCTCCACATGAGGCATAATTTGTTCTTTGTTGGTCTGGTTGAAAGTCGTTTTTTTCTGTTTCCATCAAATGCGGTTTTCTGCATTTCCGCAAAGTATTACTGAAGAAACGATTGAATTAAAATCATGTTCGTTGCTTTGCGCTTTCCATTGTTAGTCCAGTAGTTTGCATCATTCCCTTTCATGATAAGCCCTTGCAGTCAACCATGTACTATCTCAACGTAGAACTTGAAGTAGCACCAGTACAGAATTTACCTGAAAACTGAGTTAGCTCTTACAGTTAGATGGTCGGCCGATAAGTGGAGATATTGGAGTTGGTGCCACAAGAGCAGCCATAATGTTGGCTCAAAAGGTGGTTTTGTCTTCAGAGAGACCTCCAGGTATGTTACAACGAATAAATTCAACTCCAGGATGCACAGCGTTTGATGATTTAAATGACGATGGCGCGGTGGTACCTGCACTGTAATGGTGCCACTACTGAGGTTCGGTCAATAGACGATTAGTCTGTGAGCTACTTACGAACTTTGGCGAGTCATGCGGCTAACTAGTATACAGAGTGAATAATATTGAAGCTAAAGATATCGTGCTCATACTTGAAATGCTGAGAATGCATTAGCTTTAGACCAAAAACATCTATCATATCCCCTTTGTAATGCAGGTCGTGCTTGTCTTTCCACTCTTGCTTGTCATTATACAAGTGACTTAAATTGACTCCTTCTGGAAAAGGTTTTGTCCAACTTGCTGGAGGAACGAATGTGCATACTGCAACAGCTTTAAAGAACGTGGGCTTGCAACGCTGGATAACATACGAGAATCATGGTAAGCTATTCCAAACTTGTGGCTAAAGTTTCAAAACATTGTTTAATTTTGGACTCCTTTTCGTCTAGAAAGATTGAATCATATGTATGTGCATGCTGCAGGGGTATCTCAGCAATACGAAGACAACCAAAGTGGGTCTGCAGTGATCGCAGGAGTTGCATACGGAGGATATGCACGGAAGGTAAGAATTAAGTTGACGGTTGGACCCATACGCTCTCCATTCTGGTTAAGAGTGCTAAAATGTTGACTGATATTTTTCAATTTCGTGTACTCCGGTTCTTAAAAGGAATCGGCATCAAAAGTTTCAAATAGGTATAATACCAGATTAAGAGGAAGACATAACTTAGAGAAGTGCTTTAGCCCTCAAACACGGAAATTCGACTCTCGACACCTTCATGGGGAGCCTTAAAAAATTGGTGTAGAGAGTTATCAGAAACTTGAGGTGAGCTAACACAAGACGAAATCTGTTGACGGTATATGTGTGCACAGTAAGCAGAGAACTTACAACGGTCAAGACCTTCCCTGAAACAAAAAAAACGTGGACCAACTAGATGTGGTGCACTATAAAGTGTTGGTTTCTGATGGTTATGATTACTATCACCTATGAGAGAGGCATGATCCATTTTATTTGCAGACGTCAAGATTGTTAACGCAATCTTGCTTGCCTCCACGGAACACGACTTGGAATTGGACGGCAGGAAAATGGATAGGTTTCCGAAAGTTGCTGAATTTAAGGTTACAGAACTTGGGATCAAGGTCCTGGTGCCTAACTAATGTGCAACGTAGTGTTAGAATATTATAAGCTGTAAAACTACCTCCAAACAGTGGATGTAACCAGAGTAAGAATTGAGGGCCAGGAATGTCTTAGGAACTATACAGATTATGTGAGACATGATGATCCGGGAGCATCCTGCGGAAGTGCTGGACAACGTCTTCCCATTCCAGGTAGTTCAAGTCGGGAAAGAAAAAACGCACTACGAGTGCTTCTTCCTCGATCTCAGGAAGGCTCTTGACACGGTATCGTGAACAGACCTTCGTCCCAGTTTATGTAAGGCATGTTGTAGTTTATGAAAGGCATGTCCTGGTATATTGTGGACTAGCCTTCCAACAAGAGGCAAGATAGACTTCAAAAACTTTGGACAGGAGCGATTTATTCACCTCTGTGTATATTTTCCAAGTGGGTGTCCTCGTACAAGGGGCTCCCTAAATGGAGGTTTGATTCCATCATAAATCAAGTCCTTGTTACCTCCCTTAATTTTCTACCCCAGCCGCGTTGATATGCGAGCTGATGTGAGGAGTCATGGGAGAAATTGTCAAGAGATATGGAGTTTCATAGTTCATAAAACTTGTAAGAGTCTTACTACGAGAATATCCACTTTTTATTTTCTCGAATACCACCGCCTCCGTTAAACGTTGTAGTGTATGCAGTCGTCCATTTGGTTTATTCTCGTGTTTGTCTGCTCATCCCCTTGTTAAAGGTCGAAATATGCCTATGGTCGCTTTGTCTGTTGAAGCTGGTTCTGTTCAAAGACTGCATTCTTCAGATGTGTAGACCACATTTAAGTCCTTTGTCCGAGTTGCATGTTCGAGCATACATGAGTTTTGGTATTCGAAGAAAGGATCGAACATTTCTTGTAGATTGGGGCCGAACGAAATCTCCTCCTTTTTTCTCCGTCTTTTGCGAGGAATTCTGATTGATTCAAGCCGGTTAGGTCTTCTTGCCAGAATTGACGCAGGCGGTCATTTGAGTTTTTCTGGAGTTTCTTGACGTGCGTTCAAGTTTCTGATTTGTATTTCTTCAAAATCTTTTTTTAAGTGTATTGAGAGAGTTTTCCTTCTTTCATACAATCTCTAACGATATCCGTAGATTCTCCTCGTTTCCTTTTATCACACGCTCTAACGAGCCAAGGCGCGGGTCTTAGTTCGTAGGCATATGTAAGGCACTTGCTATTGAGGGTATCTGGTCTCCGAGTTTTTGCCCCGTACAAAATGATCATTCTCCAGTCGAGAATGATCCCTACAGTCTTAACATTGATCAGTGTTAGTAGAAGAGAGAAGACCACAATGAAATCCTGTAAACTACATGAAAGTTGCGTAAGTGACCTGGATGGACTGAAGAGTTAGATTACGTAGCTTGTTACAACGGTTGCAGTTTGACTTTTGACAAATGAGGTTTGTGTATTGCAGATAGTGCACAAGTTTCTCAGAAATGTGGGCGAAGAGGAAACGTGCGGTGATGTGCTGTTGAACCGAAGTAGCAACCAGATGGAAAATTATCCTCATTTTCTCCTCCACGCTGTTTTAGAAGCGAACGTTCTCGTTGATAGTATAAAGTGTAGTGTGAATCAAAATTTTCATATTTCCACTGTCCCGGAATCTCACGAACACATATAATGTAGTACATGTATTTACATCTTATGCCTCCAATCTACAAACACGACTGCTCTTGTATCATTTCTTTCAACGCTTCCTGGACTGCAGTGGAGTACCTTGCTTCAAGCTTCCTTAAAACACATTGACATCAGAAACATAATTTCTGATAAAAAAATTGAGTTAATCAAAATGTATGGTTAATTCAATCAAATCTATGAGTTGATTCAAATGATTATCCTTGAAGAGTCTAAAAAAAAATTGTGCTATTATACAAATTTAACATGATGAATACAAGTATAGTTTAATAATAAGTTTTATACGTATTTCTAGATTTCAGTCTATCTTGTTTTGTCAGCAGTTTGGATCCAATTAGCTCTGGTTTAAAAGAAATTATACTAGGTTATAGTTTCCATTACATGAATTAAAAAGTAGATTGTTAGTGATAATTCATGCAGTTCTTGTAATGTAGAAAATTCGAGTTTGGACTATATGGGAAAGCAAGACATAGCTCGATCCCAATATTGTCTCAGGTTTTCACAGTAAACAATTATAATCTTGTGGAGGTAGCTAGAGATGAATCACATATTATCGACGTTGAGTGTTAATGCATCATCATGAGTTACTTTGTTTTTTCTAGTGTTTTTTCTGCATTTCCATTTTCAATGTCTATCAAGAGAGATCATGGATGATCTCTTAGTCTGAAAACTTATATGCATGGCAATCGATAAACTCATACACTATAAAAAATCTTTCCAAGGGAATATAAATGTGTCAAATTCTATATCTATTTCAAATTAGCACATGTTATACTCTTATAAGATTATCACTATCAACCACATAAAAATATTTACTCCAAACATTGAGTACTTACCTATCCAATATGATACGGACAGTACAAAAATATTCTTAGATTAACAGTGAGCACTTGCAACCATATCATCCCCTTCCTCCCTCAGTTGACAAGCGAATTTTGCTTCTCTGTTTCAATGAATATCACTTCTACATTATTTTTATGCTTTGAGATATTTCTTGCACTTCTGAAAAAAACCCAACGCTTAAACTGTACATTCAATTCAATATCCATGACAAGAAATCATGAAAAACTAAAGTGTGAACCCCCTCAACTCCGGACTCAGAAGACAAGAATACGGATGGAAGCAAAGACCGTTTACGTGCGCCTATCGGGCTCTGCCCTGCCCTAAGGACGGACAGAGAGAGAGGAAGGAAGGAAGGAAGGAAGCGAGGGAGTGAGGATCCGATTGGGAACTCGAGGGACCTGCAGGGACGCAGCAGAGCATGGACGAGCACGAGCACGAGCATTGATCGACCATCGTAGAAATGGGCTAGGCTCGGGATTTCGCGTTGATTCGCTGCAGACTGCGCGAGCGTTTCTGTTCGAGGGGGCAGGAGCCATGGCTCCCAAAGTGAAGGGCAAGCCGAAGCCATCAGCAGGAGGAGGAGGAGCAGCAGCAGCAGCAGCGCCAGGGAAAGTTGCAGCGAAAGGTGGACCTGAGAAAATTGCCGGAGCAGGACCTGGAGCTGGAGCTCCCGTCGGCCCGTCGCTCGATGATTTGTTCAAGTCGTTGGATCGGCACGTGAAGAACAATGATTATAAGCAAGTTTTGAAATTGACCGATGACAGTATCCTCCTACCTTCGTGCGTGCCCATTTCGTGTTTTATCGCCCTCCGCCGAAAATGCTCCCGGTTTTCTCTGCTCGGGAGAGATCCGTTATCTGACTTGTGCACACAATTGGGCTTTGCTTCTCCTTGACTTGCGCTTTCGCAGTTCTGAAATTGTCTCAAGGCGATAAGGACGCCGTCGAGTGCAAGGTTGTGGCGCTCATTCAGCTCGATGAATTCGATCAAGCGTTGTCCGTCATCGAATCTGCTCCCGGTCTCGACCTTGTCTTCCAGAAGGTGAGCATGTTAGGGTTCTTCGTTCATGTATTTCTCAGATTTCTCCGGCCTCTCCTTCTCTTTTGGTCGATCGCCGTATGCCGATGTCTTCTGTCCGATTGGAAGCCCTACGGCCACTAATAGCCTCGTCCCTGATAAGACTCCCAAAACGGACTGGACTCGAAGATATCAACTGGCATTGATGGAGACAATATAAAAATCATTTCAAGTTCACAATTGACTGTCAGTTATATAAAAGATAGAGGTTTATCTCAACTAGTCCAACGATAAATAAGTAATCTCCTTGATATCTCTAACGAGCCCGGACTGTATCTTCACCCAACTTAGACAGATAAACCAACCACAAACGCTGACTTTTATCGTTACTGTCACATCCTACCCTCTAGGATTTGAACATTTTAATGTAAAGCTTGTTCTAGCCACTTGCCGATATATATTCTTTGTTAAACCTCCTGATCCATGTCACCGAAAGCTTAGAAACCGGCAATTCAAGATGCAATTGCGTGTATTGTGGAACTATAAACCGCAGAGCGACAGAAGGCTACATGCTACAATTGCGACCACCGAAACAGACTACCTTGTCTCAACTAAACTCAATTGATTTCACTTAGTGTGCTCATGCTGGAATACAAAAGGTGAGGCTTTATGTCAGTTGTCGAACAATTCAGAGCATTATGTAGGGCACTAACTTCCAATGGTTTGATCAAACAGCTAGGACAAAGACGCCTGCATATCCTTAGACTCAAAATTCTGATTATGAGTACGGGAGTCAAGAGATGAAGGGACTCTGAATCAGCTCGGAGGAGACCACAGATTCAGGCCCAGCTCTAAGGCGACTGTTAAAATTGTGGTAGTTTTAGGTCAAATGTTATGGAAGCTTTCTAACAACTGATAACGCCACCGCAAGAGATGGCATGTAGTGTTCAGCAGACGACTGATCAATGGTGCGTTTCTCTATGATGGCGGTTTTGTCGTAAAGCGGAACAGTCCAGAAGTTAGCTGGAAAGAAGCCGGGAAAAAAAAGAAGATTCTTCTGTAACTCATAATAATGGCTAGCCTCGTACTGCAATCTTACCATGCTCGTATCAAGAGTCTAAAAACCATAATGCCATCTCCATCATACGGTTGATCTTCATGGAAATATACCAAAATGCAAACATGGATTGACATTCCAGCACCTTCAAGTGGAAAAACTTCTGATGTTTGTGGTGTAGATCGTGCGTACTGCGCAGATTCTATATACACTTGTGGTGCTCTAATTTCCGACAGGATACCATGAGTTAAAGAACATCATCGTGAAGAAAAGGCAGATGATACGTTATTCGTTGCCTGACCTTTAGTGGTATTAGCTACGTAAAGCAGGAAAATCTCAATAGCTCATATTCCCGGGATACAAGTTCCAGAAGATACTAAAGTCAACCAAAGCTTTCATCTCCTCATGTACTACTTTTGACTTTGATTAAACTGACCTGTGCAGTCCTACACGTCTTCAGAACGTTCTCACCACATCTCTACTTTGCCAACTAATACCTACAGTCGATATCATGATCTGTCAGTACTATCCCACTGTGAGGACTCTTTTAAGATCATTGCTTCATGAACACACGGAATCACAAACAGGGCTCTCTCAATTCCATCATCGACCTCTTTTACCGTCTGCTTGTGTTCTTAGCTGTTAATGCAATTCATGCCCTCGAATTGAAAATTCTTTCTACTCCTGTTTGTCAAACTTGAATTGACGGTGACATCATTCAAGGACGAGCGACGAGATTTGGAGAATTCGTGGAAAGTATCTAATTCTTCCGGGAAATTTCGTACACTGACATCAAGTTTTGTGCATTTGTATGTAGGCTTACTGCCTGTATAAGCGCAACCGGCTTCAGGAAGCTCTGGCAGCATTACAGAATGCCGAGAAGAATGCTTCCGTGCTGCAACTTGAGGCACAGATACAGTTCAAGTTGGGGAATTTTTCCGCTTGCATTGGTGACTACGAAAAGCTTCTGCAAAAGCAGCAGAAGATTGAGTCTGATGAAGTGAAGAGCAATGTGATCGCTGCATATGTATCGGGAGGAAGGTCACAGGAAGTACCAGCTGTCATGGACGCAATGAAGGTATCAGCTAGAAACAATTTCAACCTGGCCTACAATGCCGCATGTGCTCTGACCGAGAGGGGAGATTATGGGAAAGCTGAAGAACATCTACTCCTTGCTCGCCGGTACTCTTCTGTCTCTAATATTGTCATACACACCAATGTAGCAGGCATGCAGAAGCACTCTGAACTGGAAATGTTTGAAAGTTCTTCTTCCTTTTCTCTATGGACAATTTGGGAAAGCCATGCGAGTTTTTATCAGAAAGTAAAGCAAGAGCAATACATGAAAGGGTCGAGACACAGATACTGAGTCCTGGAGATAAGCTCTGACTTGTTGTTTTACATAGGACCCGGATTGGGTTTCGGGTAAAGAAAAAGCACCTGAGGTGTTTTTCCTTACCCGATACAACATCATATTACGTACCCAATCCGAGGTGACAAGGGAAACCGGCATTTACACCTCCGTAGTGGAAAGGGTAGTGGTGTCTAATGATTACAAGGACACCTCAATAGTAGTGGTGTAGTGGGCTGCAGTCTAACTATAATTACACAAGAAGCAGCGACAGAAGGAATAGGGAGTAATCAGTATTCTAACACTCCCACTTACTACCTACTTACTTCTCTCTTCCTCGTTTCCAACTAACAAACCTAAATTCTGATTATGACACCTGGGCCTTTCTCTAGCTAATGGCTTTGTCATAATATCAGCAATCATATCTTGGGTTGGTAGATATACCAACTTCACCATGTCATTTTCGACTAGATCCCTAACAAAATGGTATCTAATGTCGATGTGCTTAGATCTATCATGTTTCCTCTGATTCTCGACTTGTGCGATAGCACTTTGATTGTCGAAGAGAACATTGTTGTCGACTCCAGCTCAAAGCCGAGATCGTTCAATAATTTTCTTAACCATATAGCTTCAGCTCCAGCCTTGGACAAAGCCATGTACTCTGCTTCGGTAGAGGAAAGCGCTACTGACTTTTGTTTCTTTTATATCCAGCTAATGGTTCCACCATTGAGTTGGAAGCAATATCCAGAAGTAGATCGTCTCGTGTCAAGGCAACCTCCCCAGTCCGTATCAGAATATCAAGTCAAACCGGATGGTTTCTCAACCCTTGTAAACACAAGGCCAAAATCGAGAGTCCCTTTCAGATATCTGAAAATTCTCTTAACTGCCTTCCAGTGTATCAATCCAGGATTTGACATGAACTGAGCCACTGAGCTAACAGCATAAGATATGTCGGGTCTAGTACAGACCATCGCCCACATCAAGCTCCCAACAGCAGCTTGATACGGTATATCCTTTATCTCTTCTCCCACTGAGTTGGGAGAGTCGAGCACACTTAACTTCAAACCGGGTTCCATAGGTGTATCAATAGGCTTACAGTTAGCCATGTTGAACCTCGCAAATTTTTCAACCAAATATCGTGGTTGGGAGATCCGAATCCACCCTTCTTCACGATTTCTGTCCACTTGCATACCAAGACAATGATGGATCTCTTCTAAGTCCACCGTATCGAACTCCGTTTTGAGTTCTCCTTGATATTCGTAAGAAGATGCAAGGAACCACTCGCCAGTATACAGTCGTCCACATATAGTGCCAAATACACAAATGCACTCTCCTGAGAGTATATGTAAACATTCTGATCTGCATCAGCTCTGGTAAAAGCAATCTGCAGTAAGAACAAGTCAATCCTTTGATACCATTGTCGTGAGGACTGCTTCAGTCCATAAATGGACTTATTCAGTTTGCATACCATGTTTTTCTCAGAAGAGATATTCAACCCTTCAGGAAGGGCCTTGTAGACTTCTTCATCTACTACCCCGTTCAGGAATGCAGTTTTCACGTACATCTGGTGCATCTCCAAATTGTATTGAGCTGCTAGAGCCATTAACACCCTAATGGATGTCATCTTCACCACAGGAGAAAATGTTTTCCGAAAAGTCAACACCATAAACCTGTGAATATCCTTTCCCTACTAACCTGGCCTTGTATCGATCAACAGAACCGTCAGGCTTGTATTTGATTTTGTAAATCCATTTGCAGCCAACGACGTTCTTACCCGCAGGTAACGCTGTCAATGTCCAGGTTTGATTTTCTTCAAAGAAGAAAATTCATCCTTTATAGCTTCTTTCCATTTGATAGAATCACCATTCTGTAAGGCCTCTTCATAAGAAGTAGGTTTCTTGGTGAGTCTCCCTATACGAAAATAAACCTCGATGCTTCTTCTTCTTCTCCAACAGTTGATCATATCTTTCGACACGTTTCCTTACTCTTTCCCCCTTCGAAAGAGAGGATCGATGGAGCGGGAAGATGATGAAGCAGCCCCTGTAGCTGTAGGCGGGACCTCAGATGCAGTGTCGTGAATTCGGAGTTCTCCCAGTAAGTCTACGAGGTTGCACACCCTATCAACAAGAGGAGCAGAAGAGAGAGGATTCTCCCGTAGCTTCCATGTGCGCCTCTGAGAAGTCTGGCCAAAACGGACCGGAGAAGTGGCAGGGACTTCAGCAGTGGGAGGATGACTTACGGAGCAAGTGGAAGTTGCCTGTGGAACTCCCACTGCATGTGATGGTGTCAATGGACTGAATTCTCCTACCGCTGGTGGCCGTCCTGCTGGTGGCTGTTCTGCTGGTGGCCGTCTGCTGGTAACCTCCTGCGAACTGGATCAGTCGATGGAGCTAATGGAACAGGGCGAAAGGGAGTAAAACCTTCTTGCTCAGCAGGCGGAACAACTGATGCCTGCTGATGGTGAGAGGTAGCTTCCCGAACTGCAAGAGGCATAAATCTGACAGATCTGCTTTCAAGAATCTTATGAGAGTCCTTACGCTGTACGCGATATCCTTTGGCTGTAGTAGAATAGCCAAGGAAAACACATTCTACACTCTTGGGGTCAATCTTACCCTGATGGCCTTTCTCAATATGGGCAAAGGCAGTACATCCGAAAACTTGTAGGTGGCGCAGATCCGGCTTCTGGCCATGCCAAAGTTCGTAAGGGGTTTTGTCGTTGGGTAGAGCCTTCGATGGAGATCTGTTCTGCAAGTAAACAGCAGTATGGATGGCTTCGCCCCAATAGCCATGAGAAAGACCAGAATCTGTCAACATAGCGACAACTGAATCGATCAAAGTACGATTCTTCCGTTCAGCTACTCCGTGTTGTTCAGCAGTATCAGGAATGGAAAACTGTCGTTGTGCGCCATGAAGCGTAAAAGCTCAAGATTTGTATTCAAGAGCATTATCTGATAGCAGGACCTTGATGCGCTTGTTCAGGTAATTTTCAGCCATCGATTTGAATTCCTGAAACTTTCCTTGAGTACCACTTTCGTGTACTCAAATTGTCTGACTAGTATACCTCCAGTCTCTTGTGATGTATATCCAATCATTGGGTCATGTTTTTTGGAAAAGATCAAGACAATTTTCTTCAATGAATATCGGAATTGCTGTCTGGAGCTTTCTTCTTCGTCTGCGGATTTATGTACTGTGATGTGTACATTTCTTGTCTGAGTTTCTTCATGCCCTAGTCCTTTTCTCTATCTCTCCTCCATATAACAGCCACACGCTATGAACTCTTAGATTTCGAAAAAGTCAGGGGACACCTGCTAAGTCTTGGTTGAGTCAGGTGCAGGATACTGAGCTGCAAAACTACCTGCCGGATCATGTATGTGGGAGAGAAAGATACGGTCCTATGAATCTGTAGCCTTGGAAGCAAGAACTGGGCTCCAAATAGAAGAGAGCAGGAAGCAAGCAAATCCCCACATCTGACCTCTCCCAGTCAAGTACTTACCCTGAACCCTTGGTCTTCAAACCTCATCTTCAGGGTATTCCGTGCCGAGTCACAAGACTGAAGCTCAAGCACTGGACGGGAGTGATCCTTCTCAACCAGAAGAAGAGCAAGACGGGGAACCACCCCGCTCAAACTTTCTGGTGTAACTATAGTCCGTTAACTGCGGGAGCATTCAAAGGATAAAAGCCCATAGCTCAGCTCGCGGAGCCAGATTCATACTTGGAACTCAAAACCTGAAGTTGCTGGTCATTTGAGTCACTTTTTTTTGGTGACGAGCAAATAATTACCTATTTGGTGAAGGCTTTCTTGATCGACACCGGGAACCAGTCTATGTTCATACCTTCATACTTTGTTCAAGGAGATCGTGTTTTTGAGAACTCATGGGATGTTGGCGTTGGTTGGTGGCTATGCATGTACAGAATAGGCCAAGAAGCATTGATCGAAGAAGAATTTCTTGAAGAGGACATTGAAGACGAACTTGCTCCCATAACTGTACAGCTTGCCTATGTACAACAGGTAAGGTCTTAGTGTATTTTGAATAGTCATCGATGAAGACGCTTATGGTCTGCACAACTCGTTTTGCATCTTGAATCTTCTATTTTATCTAAAGCTTGAGGATGTTTCAGTAGAGCGTAGTAATGGATGAGGCTTTGCCAAAACATACGGACACAAGCCTAGTCCACAGGGTATGGTTTGGCGCAACTTAGAACGTTTTTCTAGTATCCTGCTCGTGTGCGCAGTCTACTCGGTTAGTTGACAAGTTATTGAAGACAAGATTTAGCTCCAAACAGTATGTGTTGTTTTCCAGATGCAAGGTCGTGCTGCAGAGGCCCTTGAAAGCTACAACGCGTTTTTGAAGAAGAAGCCTCAAGACGAGTCGTCTATAGCAGTCGCTTCAAATAACCTGATAGCTTTGAGAGGTGCAAGAGATCTGTTTGATGCCTTAAAGAAGTTTGATAAGTTGTTCGAGAAGAGATCTGGTGGGCAGAAGATGCAGTTCACTGAGAAGCTTGAGAGTAGATTGTCCGCAAGACAGAAGGAAGCCATCAGTTTTAACAGAATGTTGTTGCTTCTGCACTCAAACAAGCTGGATCAGGTGAGCCAAATTTGTTTCAAGCAATTTTCGGTTTTTAGCAATTTCTTTCTGTTTTTATTCATGAACTTACCTCACCAACCCGTTCGAACATGTAAACATATAGACTAGGCTGTTGTTGACTTCTACGTACCCTGTGCTTAAATTTAATGGGTGGCTCATCGGGATCAAGCTTTATTCTAAGCCTCAAATACCTCCTTTCTCTTCGCAGGTACGGGAACTGCTTCCGTTCTTCCTGGATACTTTTTTGGACAGTGAAGTTCCGACTCTGCTTTCAGCATCGTTAGCTATAAAGGAGGGGAAGTCTGGTCGTGCTGAGGATATCCTCAATCAATATGCTATTAAGCATCCTAAGAATTCCACCGCAGCATATCTAGCATGTGCGCAGGTGGCAGCAAGTTCAGGAAACTATGCTCGTGCTGCAGATTGCCTCGAGAAAATTGTAGACTTGCAACACAAGTTGGGTATGGTGGCAACACTGGTAGCCCTGAGGGAACGAGCAGGAAATCTGAAGGCAGCCGAGGCTGTTCTAGACGCGGCTGTGCTGTGGTGGGACAACCACATGTGTGATGACCCTGCAGTCGTGGAGCACTTGACACAACAAGCAGCTGCTTTCAAGTTGAAGCACAATAAACTGGAAGAGGCAGCCAACCTTTTCCAACGTCTTACCAAGAGTTCATCGTCCGTGGTGCGAGCTGAGGCACTGAACGGACTCGTCTGCAGCACGGCTTACGCCGATCCAGCCAAAGCCGAGTCGTACGAGAAAAAGCTCCCCCCATTGCCAGGCCTGAAGAACATAGATGTAGAAGCGTTGGAGAGAGCTGCTCCTGTTACGTCTAGTACAAAGCGAGCGCGAGGTGTAGACGATAGTGACAAGAAGGTAGGTGACGAGAAAAGTGAGAAGGCCAGGCCGAAGAAAAAGCGCAAGAGAAAACCTTTGTACCCCAAGAATTTTGACCCTGCGAATCCAGGACCCCCTCCGGATCCCGAAAGGTGGTTACCGAAGCGTGAGAGGTCTAGTTTTAGGCCGAAGAAGAGCAATAAGAGAGTTGTGCCTATCCGAGGGGCTCAAGGAGCTGCAGCAAACGCACCCTCTCACACTACGGCCTCAGGTGCCACGAGATCAGGACCTGCCGCCCCAGTCGCTAGTGCTGCTAAGCCTGCTCCTGAACCACCGAAGCCAACCTCGAGTAGTAGTCAAAAACACAAGAAGAAGGGCCGCAGGTAGTGCGATACCCTTGACCGTCGGACATCATTAGCGAGTTTGTCATCCTGACTGAAAACGGATGCGGGATAGTAATGTCGAACATTTTTTGTGAATGAAGATACTCAAACTACTAACACGAGCTGAAATAAAAAATTCTTTGAAGGCGGACGAAGTGGCCTAAGAGAGTTCTCTTGTCCTGATGTATCCCGATGTTTCGCGTAGGTACGTCATCGAATAGAGCAATGGGACAGAATGATTGGTGTGCTTCAACCCGGTCGCAACCGTTCTCAGATTGCGACTCACTTTAACTTCGCATTTGCAGATTGATTAGATGCCCCCTCTTATTAAATTTTCCCGGATACTGTCCGAGTCGTTATTAATCTGTTACACCTGTTATTAATCTTCTTCGTCTAGACCTCTGGACTGAGGGCGAAAGTTCTTCATCCAGGAGATTCTTCAATTTTCAGTCGGAATATTCACGAAAGGTATCAAGAGGTGGAAAATTCTAGGACTGAATGAACTCGAAACAAATGTGTCGCGTGCTTTGATCTAGGCAAGCATCGGTCTTAGCATACTCGATTACTTCAATAATCACACGCGTCTGAAGGCGCAAGTGAAACGGATGTTGCAATTTATCGTCTATAGGTACAGCTGGAAGGAAAACTACAGCAATCGCCACTAATGGTCATAATATGATGCATCTCTCCTACTCAAGAGATATCGAAAACCAGAACGTGATGACCATGCAATCAAATTGTATTTCTCGAACACTAACTTGTTCCTCTCATTTTGTGGAAATCTGAGTGTCCCTTCTTTCCGTGCATTTGTACAGGGCTAAATTACACCTCTGCTCTATGTACAGGTCGTGAAACGAGCAATATCACCATGGCTCAGGTGGGGACGCAATTGGGTGAGGGGGTTGTGGATTATCCCACGATCTCTCAGTCAATATGAGGGTTAGCCTCTCCAACAACTGCTTTAGTGCCACTATCTCCTTGGCTTCAAGGGAACTGAGGTGAGCTGGGGCAGTGGCAGAAGCCTGCACAGGGTCAATCAACAAACCTGTCAAGAGACAATTCAGCAGGAAAGAAAACTTCAACGCTAACATCGACCTGTGACAAGGTCGAGTATATTACAATCAAAACCTCACCAAAACTTTACCTCTGAGGTTAAATGGGAGTTGAGATACTGAAAGGCTTGCTCATATAAGCCGCAGTGAAACAGCAACACCCCATAGTCTCGACGCTCCATCCTATCGACTCCGAGTATGACGAGTCTCTCCGAAGCTGCTTTGTCAGTGAGACCGATTCAAACAGATGCAGCATTCATGAGTACCCATGGGCTACATTCCTCACAGAACCTGCCTCTTTGTCGAGTCCCTACTTAGTGTTGGTACTGTAAGCTCGGTCGTACATCTCGGAAATTGGTTGAGAAGGAATCTACTGACGGATAGATCTGAACCTTTGTATAAAGCGAGGTTGTGGGGGCGGACGGTGGGTAAAAATATCATCCACACAACTCTTGGCAACAGTGAAGTGCAGGACCTGAAACGTACCAGCTAGTGCGCACCGAAGGTCTCCAAAGGCAGTGCTAGTCCAGATGCCACGCTGCAAACGATACTGTGCTGCTCTTGCTCTTGCTACATCCGATCCTCTGCATTGAAAGTGTTGCAAAGAAGAAAGAAGATAAGGTGAGTGAGTGATGATACTGAATACGTGTTGGGTGCAGAATTGGAAAAATGTGGGCCAAAGTGGGAAAATTCAGCTATTCATTCGGCAACTGATGGGAAAGTACAGGAAGCAGGAAGGATGGAGGACCTGCTTCTGGAAGGTGCTGTGAAGAGACTCTCGAAGGGTCCATGTACACTGCTGCCAGAGCTGACAGGACCTCTGTTGATGGCTGTTGCTGCGTCCAGGAATCCGCTTTCTTCACTCACACCATTCTCAGGTTTCCAAGGCCAGTACAAGGACTTTAGCGATCTCAGAACCTGTACGTGACAGAGGTGCATCACTCCAGCAAATCAGACAAGGGCTCAGCACGACATCGACCGGGGGACGGCACCATCCTTTTCAGATATGGAAATACACCATGTGCCTTCTTCTAAATCGAACCACGGCCACAAATGCTTGTGCTTGATCAGGTGAGCCAACTGGCACAGCAGAGTGCAAATACGATATCCTGAGCTTCACAACGCAAGTTGGGCCACGAGTACTGCGCTCACCTCTGACAAAACGACTTCTGACGTCAGAAGATTTTGCTGCATGCCTGCTGCTTGGGTTCCAGCTTTTTGCTGTTTCAAAGCGGAATCCTCGAGATCCCCAGCAGCAGCTTCTTTTACGATGGCTTGAGGCCACCAGAGGTCAGTGCCAACTTTTGGGAGCTGTAATTGTACGAGAAACTCTACAGCTCCTCGCAACTTCAGTCGTTTCACAACCTCACTGTAAATAAGGCCAAGCATCACAGGAGTTCCCAATCGCCTGGTCAGGACCTGTCAAATGGCATTTCACTGATTACGAGGGTGAGTGGCAATTGCACCCTCTCCTCCATATGTTGTAGACTGATCGTTGGTTTTGGAAGCAAAAAGTATGGAAATGCAGCTGATAGATGCTCTGCCATGGAAACTGACCCCATTGAGATAGAAGTCCCTCGGATCTCGACTCGCTTCTGTGCTCGTTCTTTGAAAGCCCTGCGAAGTCCACGAATTCGTAAAAAGCTTGCAAGTGATCGATTCCTAACCTCGAGGGCTTCATAGTATCTAGGCTGGAGTGCTTTGCAGTTGAGATTTAGGGCTTCGAGCTGTCATGAGAAGCGGGCTAGCACGGACTGACTGCTTACCTTGTAAATGTACAGATATTTATCCAATGCTTCTAAAATCGCCGAAGGATTACGAGGATCTTGGGAAGGAAGATGGTGTCCGGCGAACTCTGAGGCCATGCTGTCCAATCTTTCTAGGTACATATCGACCGGAAGGGGCACGGCAGAATGAGAAACCAATGCGTCGTCCTCAGCGGCAATTTCTAAAACTGCTCTGGCCAAATCCCCGTCCCCTCCCGCTTCCTCATTCTGCCCGGCCAGCTTCGCCACCTCCTTCGAGAATCCTGTCCGCGCAACCTAATCAATGAATCCAGTCGTGAACATGGAAATTCAGCAGATAGAAGGCTTCCTGTTGCGCCTCGACTTCATGAATGAGTGACTGAACTCGTGCCCATAGAAGAAATTAAGGTTCTCTAGCCAGTGCAATTGTTGGAGGTTACATTAGCAGATGAAATGCAGTGAAGGTTCGCTGTCTGTCTGTCTGTCTGTCTGACAAGGTCTATAATGTGGAAATTGGAGGAAATTCAACACTAAGAGCGCTCTGTGGACAAGATTTTGGAACACCGGCAGACGATCGAACGAGCAAGAATTTCACGAACCCGAGCAAATGCCGTTTCGATTCCGGCTTGATCCATCAGATCATGGAGACAAAATCCAGAATCTTGCTGATTCCCCCTGCACAACCACGAGACTTTGCTTTTTCCGAAAGAAACTTGTGATTTCAACGAGTGAGGCCTACTCTCCAGCAATCCCCGGTACCAGCCAGCACCTCCATCTGGAATTCGATGGCCAAATCTGAACTGAATTCTCAAATCCATGACATTGCCGCATCCGCAGGGACGCAAAGCTCCGTAGCGATCGTCAAACCTCCCACGAAACGAGACCGACGCTGAGCCGCTGCTGCTGCGCCAATGCCTCTCCTGGCGAGCCTCTGGAAACAATTGCGTTCCTATTTTCAGAACCTGAATTTGCAGGCCAACAGCTGCAGCCATAGCCATCCTCTCTCCCTCCCTCCCTCTTCCTCTCTCCCTTCCCCTCAGAATCACGAGACGAATTGGGATATCCTCGTGGCGGGGCCTCGTGAGGAGGACAACGAGCCAAGCCTTGGACTTCTCTTCCACCTCCTTCCCGGACAAAAACCTTTTTCTTGCAGGAGTTTCATTTTTCATGCTATTCCCCACAATTTCCATAATTCTTGGGACCGATGGACGGGCACACGAGGAGGCATATATAATTCAACCATCACATCCCAACACATCATGTCAACACGCACAACAACCATAACAACTTCCCTTGAAGTGGGAAGTGTGAAGTGGTAAGCCCATACTGGTCCGGGAAACGATCGAATCCGTCTGGAGAAAACTGCTGCTGCTGGAGGTACGCCAAATCTGGAGGTCCGTCCCGAAAGTGTCCGAATCGATGATTTCGCTTGTCGAGACTGTGGACGTGGTTTTGTGTTTCCATTTGCACTTCCACTTGCTCTTGTCTCGATTAATCAATCAAGCATGTCCAGTACTTACTAACACTCGTTTAATCCTCCTGATGAGCTGCAAATAATGCAAAAGAGAGCGAGAGAGAGAGAGAGAGAGAGAGAGAGAGGGGTTTGCATTGGATTGTTTCCAAACTGAAGCCATCTCGAGGAGACTAATTAATTAATGATAAATTAATGATAATCAATTATAAGGTGCTCGTAATTAATGGCACCTATGAACGGATTATTGTCACCTCTAAAACCATTTGGCATGTTTCCTTTCCTTTGCGATGATTACGAATGGCGAGAGGTGGAAACTTATCTAGGGGCGAGGATTCATAGTCCTCACAAGATTGACTGATTTCAGGAGTTTGCCCAATCTGGCATATTCTTCTTGCTCAGCTCGCTCGGTCATGGTCAAGGCCGATCCATCGAGTAGCTCACGACAAGCCATTCTTCGAGGGTACGTTCGATCGTCAAGCATCGTTTAGCACTCTGCAGCTCATGTTCGGCCAGGCAGGCCGAAGATGGAGGGAGAGGGAATGTCAGCTCTCGAATCCACTCCCTGCAGCAGCAGCAGCAGCACAAACCTCGATTCGGCTCGGGCGAGAAGTGTTGGTGCCCTGCGGGTGACTCACTCACTTCTCTCGATGCTCGACTTCCTCACTGCAGCAGGAGAAGAGAAACCGCGTGATGATTGATCGATCGAGGGTGAGGGTGAGGGTGAGGCAGCTGCAGCAGCAGCAGTAGCGCACACACACCGAGCTCAGCTCAGCTCAGCTGCCATGCCATGGCGTCCGATCGGTTCACGTAACCGCTCCAGTAGCGCCCTCGAGACTGCGCGACCGACCGCATCATTCGCGAGCCTCGGCTCAGCTCACCGTCCGAGTCTGTACGTGCATCCCTCGAGCTTGGTGGAATTCGTATACTGCCTCAGAGACCGGGACGTACAGAGATTCCCAACCTGCGGCAGCGACGATTGCAGGCCAGTCGAGGGAGGTACGGGGACGAGGGGATCTGCACGTATTGCGTAGAGTGGCGGATCAGTCACGTACGTACGGAGAGCTGGATCGGCTGAGCTCAGAGAGGAGGGGAGGAGATGAGATCAGCTCGAAAGGGATTAGCAGTGATTGATCGGAGTCTCGAGGTAGACAGACATTCGAGAATCTCGAAGGTCTAAGCCTCACCTCTGAGGACGATGATGTGTGGATCGGAGAGATGATTAGGCGAGTTTGTGATGAATTATTAGTGCGGCCAGATGATGATTAGAGTCATGAATGTGAAGTTGGGGGTCAAGGAAGGTCGATGGTAATGGTGTTGGGGGCAGAGTCCAGTTGATGGAATACGTATTTCAATCTCGCTCGCTCGCTCGCTTACTCATTCACACTCAGCAGCAGCTCCATAGCTCCATAGCTTCGTAGAGGAGGAGGAGGAGGAGGTGACGGATGCCGGTCGCACGCTTCGAGCTCTCATCCACTCCAGAGGCTGGCTCGCTGCAGTTCCCAGCGACTCATGAGTACGAGGACTATTCGTTCAGAGCACACTTTTGCAGACGGAAGTACAGTCCATGGAACTGTGCCAAATCATTGCTGGTTTAGTAAGATGCCGAAATGATGGGAGGTGTCGAGGATGCAGCGAATCTGCAAATGGGCGGAAGGGCTCGTGTGTGGGAGCGAGCGAGCGAGCGAGGGAGTGAGTGAATGTTGGCGCAATCTGACATCCTGCTGCCGGCTACCGAGCATGGAGGAATTGTTGTCCTCGCGAGTCAAACTCCTCCCCTCCCGGTCTTGCCTCTGTCTGCATTCTGTGTCAAAAGTCCAGCTCCATCTTCAAGGCTGCCCCAGTCACCTCGAGCTGCGTGTTCCCAAGTGACGGCAGGACAGAGTTGCGAGCAGCATATTCGACTCCCCCGCAGGACAATCATCACTTTTCTTCTCTCGCTCGCTCGCTTCAGACACTGAAACCGTCCCCTTCTGCTTCACAAGCTCAGCTCGCAAGAGCTACCGATCATCTCCTTTCAGAATCCAGCAGCTCTCAAGGTGTTCGTCATGATTGTATGCGAGTGTCTAAGCCTAATGCCATTTACACCGTGAGTCTGTCTGTGCCTCTTATTACCTCAGCTGCACTTCCCAGTCTTATATCGGCGATTCCCAGTAAGTGCCAGCATTTGATTAAAATCTCGAGCATGAAGAGAGAACGATTCTTAATTGCGCAGGAGTGTTGCTTTCAGAGGGTGAGGACGACGCAGCTGCTGCAGCTCTGGAGAAGTGAACTGGAAGGCTCGCCAGAGACGAGAGTCTGGACGGCATCCACGCATACAGCACGCTCGTGGATGGACTGCACTAGATGACCGTGAACAGCGGGAATTTTCGTTCGGAATCAGCTGAGAGGAGCAGGAGCAGGAGTTTGGTGTCGAGACGATTCGAGCAATGATGAGAGCGAGGTATCAGATCCGTCACGAGTTCAAATGTTTCCCGCAACTTTCGAGAGTTTCATGATTCTCGCTCGCTCTCGCTCCTCATCTCGCCAACTAACTGCCTCCCTCCTTCGGCCTACACCTCGTAATGATACCTCTTTACGCACGATGAGAGAGAAAATGTTGCATGATTCTCCTTTCGAGTTCGGATTTCCAGCCTACCTGCCTGCACAGATGCACCACCGCAATTGATTTCCTCTATCAACCAAGATCCCCCCATGCCTGAGTACTCACCACTACTGGCTGCTGCAAACAAAAAGCCTCTCTCTCTCTCTGTCTGGAAGAGAGAACAAATATCAGAGTCATGATGATGAAAGATTGAGCACAGGTGTTCAAGTAGCAATGTAGTCCAACATGCCCGAGGGACACACAAATGAGTGCAGAATCAACGCAGGGAATAAAACTCAGCTCGAGAACATTGAACGACCAGCGGAACAACCGATCGAAAAAGCAAACCGATCTCGAACCTTTCATGGCCTGATGGCCTGAAGGTGTGGCCCATCCAGGCCCTGTCGGAACGAGCATAATTAGGAAAGCAACAATCCGATCAGCCTAACCTGTCTGAGTAATACACCTGCTCGTCCATGCTCAGCCATAAGAGCTCGGTGGATCTCGGATGTTCACCAGCTCGCTTAGTACTTATCACGCGCTCTTTCTTAATCATCGCTCCTAACCTCGTGCTTTTCTTCCAGTCAAGCCGGTCCATCCGAGGTCTCGAGCTGGTGAGGGAGGGGCCGTTGTCCGGAATGGGTCAGGAGCCAAACTCTAGTCATTAGCACGAAGCATTGAGTGCAGAGTTATGATGATCATCGACGACAACATAATTGATGGATCAGGCGAGCGACATAATCAGGGTCTACGTAGTGTCTCCTGCTTAATTAAGTGTGGGGAATGACTCTGGGCTCTGGACAGATGGACAGATGGATGGATGCGTTGAAGGCTCGACTCCAATGCAGCGAGAGCAGAGTAGGACAGCAGAAAAAAGCGGCACGCTCTTTGATAATGGCCTGCTCGATTTGAGAGAGAGAGAGAGAGAGAGAGAGAGAGAGAAGAGAGAGAGGGAAGGGAGACCTCGAAGAGTGTGCACAGAAAGGGAAGAACTTTTTGGATCCACCTCGGAAACAGTGCGCACATTGCGCAGATAAGTGCCCACAGCGTAATCTGTGTCTGCGGCGCTCATAATGAAGTCAAAGAGAACCAGCAGCATCGACCATCATCCCCTCCGGCTCTGGGAATACTTTCAGAAGGTGAAACTCGACGATCTCCAAATCACCAACCACAAGCGAGCGAGCGAGCGAGCGAGTGAGTGCAGGGTTTATGATTCGGCACCACCTACTGGGAACCGTCGTCAACGACGGTCTAATGTCACAGATGCCTAGCTCAGGTCAGTCAGTAAGCCCCATGGATAAAGCTAGTACCTCGACATGAGTACGAGAATGAGTGTCATGCACTTACAGCAGAAAGGAAAGACCAGGATTCTCAACAGCCAAATCCGTCCGACTTGCAATAAACTCATTGTATCATGCACCATCATTAGAGAAAGAAAGAGAGAGCCCCAAAGAGAGAGAGAGAGAGAGAGAGAGAGAGAGAGAGAGAGAAAAGAGGACTAACAGCTGGGCCGGAGCCCATGGAACACCGTGGCCTGCATTTCATTCTGAGGCGAGTGCATATGATGCGAATGCATGCGAGGACCGAGGGTTAACGGGAGTCACTCATTAAGCTCTACAAGCGAGCGTTTTTCAGAGGAGAAAGCTCATCAGAAAATCGTGGACCTCGTAATGGATTGATTGATTGAGAGGTTTTTGCATGTGACTGGCTCACGAGCCGTGCTCAAGTGGAGTGGACGAGGCCTCATCTACAAGGCGTTCGTCGTGGAGCTCTCGTAAGTTCCTCCCGGCACAGAACAAGGTGCTCGGGTCCGAAGAAAAAATTCTGTGAGAGATCGGGTTCGGATTTGTGGCCAAAATTCGTTTCATCATGCGGTGGGTGCAGGTCCTTTCGGTCGAATTATGTTCGGATTTCTATTTCCGGATGGTGATAATAGCTGCGACCTCGGAATGATGAAACCATGCCTTCACATGCAGAGAGCAGCACGCGACTTTACTCGATCATCATCATCATCATCCCAGAATCGGTACGATGGTCTCGTGCCTCTTGCGAATTTCGCACGACAGGAGCTCTCGCCCACTTCCTCACGAAGCCAGTCGTACTTGCGAGGGAGAGAGTCAAACGCAGTGAGTGAGTGAGTGAGTGACGA